GGACAGAGTTTGCCCTTTTGGTCTTCATGTAGCCTAAAGGAACCGGTTATTTGCAGCCAGCTGGTGCGTTAGAAAAGCAGGTTCATTAAAAAAAAAGTTGCTGCTATATTTAGATTCATAAAGCAACATGTGAGAGTAAAAATAAAGCCAGTCATGCAGCACATTTTAATCCTGACTGGGGCAACCTATATAAGCCCCAAATAAATCTGCATTAGAGAAACGATTAAGAATGGAGCTCATTCTCCTCCGAACACACGTTATGGAAGTGCTTGTCTTCTCAAGCATCCTTCGTTCGTGTTAGAGGCGCCATTCCCTATCATCCGACTCATTTCAGGGGCGGACCCCTCTTAAGCTGGGACCAGGGGCCAGCTGCCCCCCAGCCCCTCCTGAAGCTCTGCCCCTGCATCTGTGCATACATGTGTGGCCGTACTTGTGCACATTTTTACCCCTACTGAATGCTGAAGTTGGCATTTGAGTAACTTAACTGGTCAAACGTTTTTGAAAAAATTCAGCTGAGTTCATTTCAGTGAGCAGTAGCTAAAGTCGCTTTTTACGAAGTAAAATCCATTTTCTGTTTGCCCCTTAAAGTGATTCCCAAAAGGCAAAAGAGGCACGTCCTTTGTGTTTCCTTAAAGCTGTCGCACAAGGCTTCTAGCATCCTTCACATAGTAGTTCACGTGCCCTGAGCTTCCTGCAGTGTGAAAACGTGGACAAAGGGTCTAAGAAATAATGCACCGGTATATTGTGCAGCCTGCACACATATCTAAGCACAGGTTGCTGTAAAACTAGCAAGACATTCACATTTAATCTACATTTACCAACAAGGAAGAACAGCAGCAGCACAAGTTCCATTAACCCCTATTCTACGTGCAGCAGCCGTGTGACGTTTCCTGAGTTCACCCTGTTCTCTGACCTCTGCTCAGCGCTTCTGGAGAGGACCTGAGCTCTAATCTGCTCACTTGAAAAGTCGAAGTGTTTGCTGCCGGCCGACTTCCTGTAACTGTGCCAGCTCAGTCTCATGGTGACATCTCACAGTGGGGGTGGGGGGGTGGGGGGGTCTGTACATACATCCCCATGATGAGTCGACTCCTGCGAGTTAGATATGAACAGGTAGGAGGAAACTGTGTGTGTGTGTGTGTGTGTGTGTGTGTGTGTGTGTGTGTGTGTGTGTGTGTGTGTGTGTGTGTGTGTGTGTGTGTGTGTGTGTGGGTCTAGGCCTAGTAGTGTGACTGAAACCACATGTTGGGATACAAGACTCAGACCTTGTGACACACACACACACACACACACACACACACACACACACACACACACACACACACACACACACACACACACACACACCAGCTCTGTTAGACTTCTGCTCACACCTGCACTAATCACAGCTGTACTTCTATCAGAGCAGAAGTCCACCACGCCCTGAGGGAAAGTGGCTGCACGGCTCTCTCCTCCACATAGCGTAACACCTCCAGGCTGTGTCACACTAGGTGTCGGTGACAGACGGCAGTGTTTGAATACATCTGATCAGACACACTGTGTGCAACACTCATATTTAGAACATCAAACTAAGAGGCGACTCCAGGGCAGAAATGTCGTAAGCTAGTGCTTCCTGTTCCTAAAACTGATTGTTTATCATAATAGTGAAATGAAAACCCATCATTAATGTAAAATATAATGTAATCAACATCATAACCATCATGTTTTTAACCACGTCTGGACCCTAACACTTCAGATGTTGCTTGGCTTGTAAAACGTTGGTAATTCTGAAGTTTTACACCAGGAAGAGTTGGCCTATGTGATGCTGCTGGTGGATGGGAGGTTCGGAGCCAAAGGCAGGAACCCAGAACAACACAGAGAGAGAGAGAGAGAGAGAGAGAGAGAGAGAGAGAGAGAGAGAGAGAGAGAGAGAGAGGTGTAGTTGCAAAAATTAAATCCTTCATTTAGGAGTGATAAGGAAGTCCACAGGCTTAGGAAAAACTCCGGAGCCGACTTAAACACTCACAGGAGGAAAACTCTAAACGAACTCAAAACAGAAAACACGCTGACAGGCAACACACACACACACACACACACACACACACACACACACTAGTCAGGCATTCGTTGTGAGGACCGTCACTGGCATCCATTCATTTTATTGACTGGATTGAGCCTAACCCTAACCCTAACCAGTCTAACCCTAACCTTAACTAAAACCTTATTCACACCATACCTCTGAAACCAACTGGTAACCTTTTTAAAAAAAGCGAGGACCAAAAAATGTCCTCACTTTGTACAATAGTGAAAATGGTCCTCAGTATGTGCTATGTACAAGAACGAACACACACACACACACACACACGACAAGACCGGGACAGAAGGCAGTGATCAGGGAAACGGAGCAGGTGTGTGAGCTGATGGGAGGCAGAAGTGTGGAGGAAGCAGTACACTAAAGGGCGATGCTAACTTTATCTAAACACACAGAAGACTAAAGATAAGTGAACTAATCAACCTGAAACTGGGCACAAGAATACACAAGAAGCACCAGATCTCTAACTTGGGAAACTGAAGAGACAAGAACCAAAAGAAGAGGGAATCTAATACTGGGAAGACTGGCAATAAACGAGGTGGGACCACTAGACATGAAGGGACTAGAGGGAACATGGGGGGGGGGGGGGGGGACCTGGAAGGAGCTGGGGACCACAGGACAAAGAACATGCCAGCTACTCCACCAGATTGAAGCAGAGTAAGCGGAGCACTGGCTGAGTTATAGACCCAGTTGTGTGTGATCAGGCTAATTACGGTGATACTTGGTTCGGGTTAGGTTAGGGTTCATACTTGTCCAGTACCTGTACATCCAACTAAAGACTTTCCAGTGGAATATATTCAGAAAACGACAGAAAGACAGGACTGTGTGTTTTGGGTGGGATTCCATGTCTACATTAGGCAGCGGTCACCTGAAACACCAAACTTCTAAATCCATTCCAGGATGAAGCTGAAACAAGTCCATCTCCCGCTGAAGGAGCTTACTTTTCTGTTCGATGTCTCTTGGTGGGAACATGCAGAGAATCGGCCAGATTTTACTGCTCATAAGACTTAAACGTAGATTTGAAGAGAATCTTTATTAGTCCACAGTTACAGTTATCATAGAACCAACGAATCATTTATGTTTATTTAGATTTACTGATAACGGCAGTTTTACGTTTCTTTATTTCATTTGGTCAACTCTGGCAGCCATAATTTCGTTATAGAACAGAGATTATGTTCAAATCTCTCCAGCTGATTAAATCACTATAACTATTTTGTACAAATTGTCTTAATCATCTACTCGGTTGTTAACTTTTCACCTGGTAAAATAGCGCGGTTGTACTGGGATGTTGTTTGTGTAGCTGCAGCCAACTACTTCAGCAATATTAAGACTGTCTGTTTGCCAAGTGACCTGGAAGAAAGAACCAGTTCTTCCACTCCAGTATGACTTGTAGCTGGGATAGTCTGCCTCCTGATTAGCCATGAACTGAACCAACAGCATGGTAAAGACTGGCACAAGCACCACAAATCGCAAACTTTGCTTGGATGTTATGAAGTGTGAACAGGTGAAGTATAATTAAAAACCTATTTCCAGTTTGTTTTTGAAGAATGCACAAGCATGTCTAGCCGGCACAAGGACTCCTGGGATCAGGACTCCACCAGAGCAGACCTGGATCACCATCAGGCTGTTGGGAGTGCATCAGCACCTCAGCCAGGAGAAGACTTTTGGCAAGGTGCCAAGTGCAGTAAAGATGCCATTTCTCTAAGAACACCAGAATGATGTTCAAAGGGCTGAGGATCGGACTGCTGAGGACTAGAAATGAGTCCTTGTTCTGATTGGTTCACCTTCAGAGATTCTGGTCCAAAGAGGACAACCTAAAGTGATGGTGTGTATTTTTCCTGGCAATAGGGGGCAGTACATACCTGAATCATTGCAATCAAGCAGTATTTTTGTGTTGGAGGAAGATCTGACCAACGGATGCCCATTAGGGTCAAAAATCCTTGGGAGCACAACCTCCAGCAAAATGACAAGCACATCAGACTCCCTTTCATCGCTGGCAACGAGTGAATAAACGTGTAAAACAACGTGATACAGCTGGTCAGCTGATGATATGCAGCTCTGCCAGCTGAAGGGAGGAGCAGGAGGAGCTGAAGCCAAGTTTAGGTCATTTAAGTTATGCGGCTCCATCTTCCACAATAAAAAAGTGGCAGGCATAACATTCTATAATTCACTGGGTCATCTGGATCCAGAGAAGGTTTCTTAAGTGAAGGTTTGATTACAGCAACCTTAAAATCCTGTGGTACATACCCATTTACTAAGGATAGATTGATTATATCTAGAATGGGGGCAGTAACCAAAAGAAATGCATTTTAAAATAATTTGGTTGGGATTGGATCTAAAATGCAAGTTGAAGGTTTAGATGAAGCTAATATTTTTGATAACTCTGAAAGCTCAACTGGATCAATACGATTCAAGCACAGATGAGGTTCTACAGTTACCTCTGATGCTGCCTCACTTACTGAGGAAGAAGAAATCGCATTAGGGAGGATGCTAAAGATTTTGTTTCTAATAGAATTCATTTTACTTGTAAAAATCCCATAAAGTCATTACTGCTGAGGGCTAAGGGAATAGATGGTTCAGAGCTATGATTCTGTGTAAGTTTAGCAACTGTACTGAAAAGAAATTTAGGATTATGCTTATTCTCTTGAATTAGTAATAAAAATATGCAGTTCTAGCTTGTTGAAGCTTATTTCTATACAGCACAAGACTGGTGATTCTCAATAGGTGGCCTGCTGGAATGCCCCCCACCCCCCACCCCCAGACTGGACCAGACCTGCCCCCCACCACCACCAGGGACCCGACCACTCAGTCGAACCTTTCACTCACATAACTGCCATATCACTGGTTCAGTCGTCTTTCTGAACAGCAGCACTGACACGTTCTCTTTGCATTTGCATTAGTAACCTTCCCTTCATCTTGCCTTTTCTTACAGTGAACCATGGAAAGTTTCCAAAACAAGAGGACTCCTATGCTTTTGAGGAGGAGAGTAGCCGTGAGAGTCTGTCTCCTGAGCAGCACCACAGTGATGAGTCTCAGGGCTCGGCCTGCCCTTCTTCTGATGCTGTTGGCAGTACAGCCTCCTCCTCTTCCTCGCCTGCCCTCACAAGTCCACAGCAGGTAAAGGAGAAGAGATTTTCTACTCCATGTTTTGAAACGCCTCTGGCAACTGCCTTTCCTTTGGCTCTGCTGCTCTCTGGTGGTGACAGAGGGAACTGTGCATGCCCTGTCAGCCTTCTCACAACGACTCAGCGACATCACACTGGAAATGAAGCCCAACAAGCCTACCGTTAGCTTTGGCATACCAGAGAAATTCTGACGTGCACGTGATTGATTTGTGAACAGGGTGGCACAAACCGGGACCCACTTGACCAAAGCCAGGAAGAACATGTGTTTGAGACCAGCGACAGCCAGGCAACCCCCCCAGTACCTGTTCCTGCTATAGTCAAGGTTAGCCAGTTGAAAACATGAACCCTGTCTTGCTTTAGATGTTTGTCTCTAAGATGTAGACCAACTAACCATCCTTTTCCTGAACAGTCCAAGACATCAGACAAGAACCGACACAAGAAGCCTAAAGATGTGAAGCCCAAAGTGAAGAAGCTCAAGTACCACCAGTACATTCCTCCAGACCAGAAGGCGGAGAAGTCCCCCCCTCCCATGGACTCAGCATATGCTCGACTTCTTCAGCAGCAGCAGCTCTTCCTGCAGCTGCAGATCCTGAGCCAGCAGAAACACACCCACACACATTCACCCATACAGCACTCACCACTGCAACACTCACACACGCTGCAGACACAGGTCCATGCCCAGCAGAGGCAGCCCAGCTTCGTCTACCAGCCTCACCCACCAGAGCAGAAGTAAGTCACACCCATTAACACAGCACAGCTAAATACCATGTGGCTGGTGTAAAACAGCACCGTTACCCAGGAATGATGCGTACTCACACCGTCCTAGACCCTTCTACTCAGACCCCAACGGGCCCAAAGTAGGTTTCTGTTGTGTTTTCAGTTCCAGAGGAGCTACTGAGCAGCCATCAGCCTGCAGCACTAGCGGTCCGTCCAGCACAGCCAGCAGTAATTCATCCTCTCCAGTCAAAAACGCTTATTCTACCCAGAGCAGCACCTCTCCCATCAAAGTCGGGCCTCTCCCTGTAAATCTGGAAGATCTCAAAGTAGGTGATAATGGAAGAAAATGATCAAATTCACAGCTTAAAGAATGAATATAAAACGAGTTACTTTTTGTTTTGCTCTGTGAGGTGTCAGAACTGAGGCAGCACCTGCGTATCCGGGGCATGCCCGTCTCAGGCACCAAGACGGCCCTAATCGAGCGCCTCCGGCCTTTTAAGGATTCCACTGCAGACTCCTCCCCTTCAGGATCCTCTGACATCACCACCTTGACCTTCCCAGTCACACCCACGGGGTCCCTGTCCTCCTACCAGTCTCCGTTGTCCTCCAGCGCTCTTTCGCAGGGGGGGTTCTACCCTTACCCAAGCACCTCCTCGACCCCGCCTATTTCTCCAGCCTCCTCTGAGCTTTCTCTGAGTGGCTCCCTCCCCGACAGTTTTAGTGATGTCCCCATGTCCTCCCCAAATCAGTTCCATCTGCAACCATCCCCGGCACAGCTAAGCATAGAGGAGGTCCAGGGCGTGGGAGGTGACCAGCTGAGTGGAAGAGACCAGCGGGTGGGGGTGGGTGGAGGCACTGAGGCTCCAGATGCTGAAAAAGATAAAATGCTGGTGGAGAAGCAGAGGGTGATCGAAGAACTCACGTGGAAGTTGCACCAGGAGCAGAGACAGGTGAATAACAGATGCTCTAACTAAACATCATGATCATAATCAGCATGAAAGTCTTATTATGGTTATCGTTGTAGTGGATCGGATTAAGTTCATCAAAGTTCTACACACAAACTCCATAAAGACAAAAGCATAAAAATAACTTGAACTGGGAAACCGCGTGTACATAAGTGTTCCCAGCATTTGCCATGAAGCTCTAAGCTCAAGAGCCTCCCTCAAGGATGTGTGCTGAGCCACCTCCACTTTCCTCTGCCGACACACAACCTCAAACCTCTTCATCAACGTTCGTGGACAACACGACCGTGGTGGCTCTTCAGCCACGGTGAGGAGATACACGACAGGCGAGAGGTGCACAATTCGCCAACTTTCATAAACGATTATAAGCTAAAAAAAACAGCTGCGAGGCGTGCAAGGAACACGAAAGGTGTGCGTGCCGCCCAGACACTGTGGAGGACAGGCTGCTTGTTTTTCAGCTTCAGTCTTTGAGCGTGAAATTTACTCGTGAGCATTAAAGAAAAGTTGTGTAAAAGTAAACTAAAACACAACAGCAACAGTACCAACATGTTCCTTACATGTTTCCATCTCGGGTCAGATGATTGGAAGATGCCAGTGGTTGTTCCTCCTAAGCAGCCAACGTTCAAAGGATTAATGAATCTTGCCCGCAACTCCAGCCTCTATTAACATTAAGCGATACATTGCTGCAATGCTGAGGCGGTATTACGGAGTCTTTGATCGTTTATACGTGGTCAGCCTGCGGCGGCAGTGTGGCGCGATCGTGTTTTTAACAAAAGACGGCGGTATAAGGAAGCGGTCTTCGGGCTTTTAGCTTTCAAGTAACTTGATGTTTATGCTAACTGAAACACCACTCCTCAAGTTTGCTCACGAGCTGCTCCATGAGTGTCCATGCGAACGGTCTGATGTTCTGGGCTTCAGGTCTAAAGGCCAGAAGCTCCCAGGTCTCTGCATCACTCCAGTTTGCCGTCTCAGCTGATTCTGTTTTTACTCTTATTTTTAACATTCACGTTTTTCCTGTAGATTTAATGCAAAACTATGTTGGGTGTGTGTTCAGTCTTACATGGTAACCATGATGATCATTTAATAATCAAATCGTAGGACCATGAGTCGAATCGAATTGTGAGGTAGCTAAGTTGGCACACCCCTAGTGAGTTCCTGGGGTGTACATCACTGAGGACCTTACTAACTACTCTGCATCACTGTGTGGTACGGTGTCTGCCACCACATCCTGCCATAAGACCCTGCTTCTCGCTCCCTTCACTCCTGGACACTTACTGCACCCGACTCACTTGCAAAGCCATCAGGACTGCGGGTGAGCACTCACCCAGCGAACAGCCTCTTCAGTTTGCTGCTGTCAGGAAGCAGGCTGCATCTCGGCCAGAACCAGCAAGTAAAAGGCCCGTTTTATTCATTAGGCGTAGGTAGAACGGCCCTCGCTTAATAACCATCAACTCCACCGGTGGAAAGCAGCGTTTACACACCACAACAGCGTCAAAACACCAGGTGTCACTGATGCAAACACAGAGCTCCCGACCTCAGGTCTCACCTTCCTCGACTAGAGCTCTGTCTGCTAGATAGCATGTTAGCTATTCAATCTGGATGCGTGGTCCAGGATGCTGTCATTAAGCCACGTTTCACAAACACAAGAACACACTCCTGATGTGATGTGGTTGGTGCAGAGTAGACGGATGTAGTCCAGCTTGTTGTCCAAAGAGCGTACCGTGAGCACTGTGATAATGGGGATAGGTGGCTGGAGATGGTTGGGCACTAGCCTAGATAGCCTAGATAGATATCAAGGGAGTGTCTTCTGGACAACTCTGGGTGTCCCAGCCCAAGGTCGGACTTGAATGTGATTGAACATCTCTGGGGAGCTCTTAAGAGGACTGTACCAGTGCTTCCCATCAAACCAGAGGGAGAAATTTCCCAAAGACAGGTGAGCTATGCTGGTGGTGAGGTCATTTCCTAAAAGACTTGAGGCTGCAGTTGCTGCCAACGCTGCCTCGATAAAGTATTGAGCAAAGGCGGTGAATACTTGTGTACATGTGAGTTCTCAGGTTTTGAAATGTTCTTAACACATTGGCAGTGAGCTCCCAAAGGCTTTTCTCGTGTTGTCATTATGAGATGTGTGTAGAACAATGAGGAACATTTATTCCAATCAACTTTAGAACTAACGTGGTAGCGACACGCTGTGAAAGCTTTCCGAATCTGTCCCCGCTGTAAAACACGGTTCAGTCATTAAAGAGCAGGATTCATGTGACATGCATGCTCATGACACCAGCTTCTGATCTCCCGCTGTGATGGTGCTTGTCAGGTGGAAGAGCTAAAGATGCAACTCCACAAGAGGAAACGCTGTTATGGAGCATTACAGGACCCCCCCTCTCCTCCGTCTCACTCCTCGACGCTCCATCAGCAGCAGACCACAACTGGACAGCATTATTTGGGAGTGATGATCAAGCAAGAACCGATGTCCTTGTCCTCCAGCTGCCCCCTGTCTTCTCCCAAACAGCTCAAGTGTCCTCCTAGTGGCTGCATGGAGGATCTCAGACAAAGCATCATTTCCACAACAACTGTGAGGGGGGGGCAGTGTATAGATACAGGTCCTTCCTGTGGAAGCCCATCAACCATGTCAGCCTTCCTCAGTCCACAGTGCTCCCCGCAGGACTCTCCCAATGGAAAAGCCTCCAGCCGTTCCCAGCCATCATCTCCTAACAACCCCTACCTGTTGTCACCTCCAACAGGACGGGACAGCCGTGGACACAGAACTCACAGTGTACAGGTATCATTTCTACCAGTTATGGTTTAAAAAGCACACCTTGAAGGTTTTACGTATCAGAACAAAGTCTGACTGGCATCCGTTGTCTGCTGAACATTTTCTGATCCGGACCAGCCTTCACACATCTAAGGATGTATTTATTTTCATGAAGGCAATGTGCGACAGCCTGACCCTTAATCCACACTTGAGGCATCAGCGGCACAGAAAGGCAGCAAAAGGTCTCTACTTCAAACAGAATCCATCACAGGTGCAGTGTGGAAAATTCCAGACACACCCCGAAAGCGCTCCGTTAGATAGGATTGATGGAATTGGGTTCTATTTTTGTCGTGAGCTGCTTCTGGAAATCATACTTGGTATCTTTAAACATCTGGTAATTTTCCAAATAAAAGTCTATTGCAGAGATCTTATTTATGTAGATTACATCAATACATGTGACCTAGCGGCTTACAGACATCTTTTAAAAAGTGCAACAGTGCGTTTTCCACAGCTTTAATCCTGGAAATGGAGAAGAACAACTTTATACACTGCCTGGCCAAAACAGTCTCCACCTGGATTTGACTAATGGGCCATTCCCATCTGTACCGGGTCGGCCCCAGCCTGGCCCGGTTGATTCCACACATCCTTGTCTTAAGCCCATGTGGGCTGATTCTACCCACCAATCAGAGGCTTGCTCTAATGGAAGGTGTGAGTTTGCTGTCAGCAGTGGGTGTGTTGGCCCTGGTCGGCCTGAAGCAGACCCCCTCGAGAAGAGGGCTGAGAATGAGCCTTGGTTGGCCCGGAAAAATACCAGGCCACCCAGATATGTAAACAACCTACGCTACCCGGCCCGGGCCGACCCGGTACAGATGGGAATGGCCCATAAGCAAACAGGTAGGAGCCTCCCATTGGATCATTACTGCAGGGCGATTATCTTTCAGCTCGCCGCAAGTTATTTAACTCCAACTGGTGCAATGAGCTGCTTCTTATTTCTTAAACAACCATGTGTAAACCATCTGGTGGTCGTGGAAAAGGTGTTAGTCTCTTAGAGAAGGGTCGGATCGTTGGCGTGCTTCAAGCAGAGAAAACATCTAAGGAGATTGTAGAAATGACTAAAACCGGGTTAAGATCTGTCCAAAGCATACTTTATGATTTCATTGTTTTAGTGTTAAATAATTTTCTTGAGCCCATATGTGTTAAAATGGCACTTTACCAGCATTAATGAAATGTCCCGCTATCGCCCCCTGTGGCCTGACTACCGCATTTGTAACTTCAGTGTGGCGGGCCGCCACCTGTTGGACTAACACTGCAGTCTGCGTCCAGCATGTTTTAGATCCTGAACACAGCTGATTTGTTTGATTTAGTGATGAATCACTCCTGTAGACACTAAAAAAGCTGGGGGGTCGTTTCAGGTGTTAGTTTAAGGTGCTGAAAAGACTAACGCACAGCAAGGAGAAACGTTTCATTTTCAGTTTACCAGAAATAATGAAAAACGGACACTAGGGGCTGCTAAAAACAAGCAAACTGCCAAGTGTTCCTTTAAAAACTGGAAGGGTATTGGGAACCCATCGTCTTTGAGGAAAAACTGTGGCTGTAAAAAACCTAACCCTGAATGATCATGATTGGTGATCACTTAAAACTTTGATGAGATCAAATCAAAGAAAAGCAACAGCAGAACTCAGGGCTATGATTAATTGTGAAAGCAAGAGCATCTCCACATGAACAATGCAACGGGAACTCAAGGGACTGGGACTGAACAGCTGTGTAGCCGCAAGAAATCCACTAATCAGTGAGGCAAACCGGAAAAACTACATTTCCATTTGCTACAGATTCAAGTGTGGAGCAATCTGGTCATGTGGTCTGATGAGTCCAGATGGACCCTGTTCCAGAGTGATGGTGCATCAGGGTGAGAAGAGAGGCAGATGAAGTGATGCACCCATCATGCCTAGTGTCTACTGTACAAGCCTGTGGGGGCAGTGCTATGATCTGGGCTTGCAGGTGGTCAGGTCTAGGTTCAGCAACAGGATGTGCTCCAAAAATGAGGTCAGCTGACTACCTGAATATCCCTTAATGACCGGGTAATTCCATCTTCCCTGATGGCACGGCCATATTCCAAGGTGACAATGCCAGGATTCATCGGGCTCAGATAGTGAAAGAGGTTCAGGGAGCATGAGACATTATTTTCACACATGGATTAGACACCACTGAGTCCAGACCTGAACCCCATTGAGAATCTTTGGGATGTGCTGGAGAAGGCTTTGTGCAGCGGTCAGACACCACCACCACCATCAGTGCAAGATCTTAGTGAACATTAATGCAACGCTGGATGGAGATGAATCTGGTGACGTTGCAGAAGCTTATCGAAACAACGCCACAGAGAATGTGTGTGTAATCAAAGCTAAAGGCGTCCAATGAAATAATATTAGGGTGTGTGACCTTTTTGTGTTGGAAACCTTTCTTTGGCCAGGCAGTGTGTATGACATCAGTCAGTGATATCAAACGTGATCTCCTTCTTGGTTTAATGGTGGATGGCATGAACAAACCGTCACCTTTGAAGCCTTGAAGGATTTTGTGATCTTGAGAGTCCAGCAAGGAGGATGGCGTCACGGCGGAGGCGCTCGCCGGTGATGATTCACGCACCACGAAGCACGCATAGGAACTGTCCCGCTGCTGTTTTGCATCACTGATGCCAGCAATGTGGATTCGGGGTTAGTGTGGAGCATGAAGCATTGTTTCAGGAGAAATATTGTTCATGTCCTTCAGGCCAAAGTCCATCTTAAACAGCCCCAAACTTTCACAGCGCACATCGCTTTTCATCAGTTTCATGTTACACTCCGGTTCACACACAACTCTGCGAATATGTAAAAACACGAGTATGCGTAGCATTACAATTATTGTGCTACGTATCGCATGATTTTAAAGAAAGCATGTTTGTATGTGTGATGCTAACTGCAGATGCAGCCGCGGAGCTGTGACCAGCAGGTGGATTGTTCGTATCCTTCAGACCAAAGAAACCTACAGCCTGTATTTCCTGGCTCCGCTGACTGTGGCTTACATCACAACGGCTCCACCAAGGCTGAAAGCCACAATGTTCGGCCAAAGGTAAACAGCAAGGTGGTGTACTAACCTCCGAGTGAACCACTTCACATTTGTTTTTCTGCTGTCTGTTCACTCTAAACTGTCACTCGTTGTCCAGACGTCCATTTTCTCTCGTCTTTTACTTTACAACGCCAAACCATCTTTAGATGAAACCGTATTTAACTCAACATTCTTCTTTTTCCCTGCATCTCTCAATTTGCAAGCTCCCTTACACAATGCTAATGCCACTTCTCACTTATTTCTCATATAGATGTCAGTATTACCATCTTCCCGGCATGTTGGCCTAAAGTGTCAGGGCTCCCCCCCTGCCTTCAGTAGCTCAGAGTCAGACTCGTCTGATCTAAGACAGCCCCCATGCTATGAAGATGCAGTCAAGCAGGTAAACACAAATCTGTGCTAAGTGCCAGTAGAGATGGCTGCCGGGGATTTAATTTTACCATGTGGCGTTGCTTCAGTTTCAATTTTCTCCTCTCTCTTCTTATTTCATCTTTTGGAAGTCCATCATCTGTGTCGTTCTTGTTTGTTACGTCAGTGGTTCAGTTCTCCATAAACTTTAATCATTTCTTAGTCTTACATAAGCTCGCCCCTCCTTAAACAATGACTGTATAAAAAAGATGTACAAGACCCACCCATAGCTTTCTACGGGGCTTTTTGAAGCCAAATGGGCGGTTCAGATCACCGCCATCTTGGCCGTGTCACAGTCTCCCAGACCATCCAAAAATGGGAAAAGAGATGGGGCTGAGAGTGGAGCTGTGAGGGTGGGGCCAAATGATTTACACCCATGAACTCTGAACCAATGTAGCTACAAGCTAACTCAAAGCTACACGGAGCTTGGAACCCGAATGGAGGTTTCCATGCGCTTCTAGTCAGAAAACGCAGTTGAGCGACTCAAGTGAAGCACACATCGATGTGTTGTGCTGCTATTAAAGCTAAAATGGCTTTTTGAACCAGGCTGTAAACATGTTTGTTCCTGCTGTCAAACGGACATTTTCTAACATGGGAGTCAATGAGGATTTGCCTGTTTCAGCCCCTAGTGGGTGAGGGGAGAACTGCAGTTTTTGTCACTTCCTGTTAGCTTTAGCTTTTGGGTCCTTGGGTTCCTGCTTGTGCTTGAACTGTATGGTAAAGATCACTTGAGTTGTACCCAGTTACCTATTAATTTATCAATAACAGCTCCCATGCCGCGTTTTAAAAGTGCCATATAAATAAACTATGGTATGGTAATAACAAATTAGTATTTTTACATCAACCAATCCGTGTTTCATCATTAACTAAAGCCTGAGTCATGCTTCTCCGTCAGCCCCAACAGGGAGAGACGCGCGCACGAACGGAGACGTTTTGCCCTCATACTTCTCCGTCTCCTGGGGAGTGTTGCAAAGCAACTCCCCGCCAGGACAGCAGAGGGCGTAGCGCTGATCTGAGGTATCCTGTCATGTATCGGTCCAAGATAGCGTGTTTATATTGTGTTTTTTTGTATATAAGAGACTTTTTAGCACTGACAAATGTGTCTCTCATCCTCCTCCACCTCTTCATGCGCTCGCCACCTCTAAACCCACGTTTCCTGTCATTTCCGTCCACAAATAAAACGCTTGCTGCGTATCTTTTCACTCCTCCAGGCACGGGAGAATTAAACGTTCATGTTTTTAGAGTTTTTCCACGAGGTATTCTTCAAGCTTCTCCGTGTCTGCCGCTAGTTATCCTCGGCTCTCCTTTTGTTTTTGATGGCGCAATGGCGGCGGTGTAGACGACAGCGGCGTCCTGACCAATCACAAGCTTGCGTTTTCCGTCTCGACGGACGGATGTTTAGAAAAGAGAGCTCGACTCCGTCCGTCCTTGCGGGGCTCTCCAGCAGGCCCGTAAGGACGGATAATGGCGTTTCGTGTCCCCGCGCTGACGCAGACGCAGAAGCATGACTCGGGCTTTACCGTTACTGTATCATTAACTAAGCTCTAGTTATTAACAGAAGCCTTTGGAACCTGAAATGCTGCCATTCTAGTTCAGTATCTATGGAAACAGCCGAGAAATGATGTGAAAGAGTGAAGCACTAAACGTTGTGACAACAGACACACTGTTTCATGTTACAGCAACTGACCCGCAGCGAGCAGATGGACGAACTCTTGGATGTTCTCATAGAGAGTGGAGGTAAGTGGGAAAAAATCATTTCTACGAGGAACTTTCAATCCTCCTCCCCTAACTCACTGTGATATATCCAAGAGCAGATGACTTTGGTGACACAGGAGTTAGGGTTAGTCAGAATAAGACACGCAGTCACCACATGCACTTGGAGGAAAACAATTGAGAAGAATATCCAAAACTGGAAAACGTTTGGGTGTGATATCAGTAAAATACACCATAAATAAATGTTCTCACCAGTCTGAGTTGTGTTTCTGGTTCAAAGCTAAGAGTAACTACCTGTTGTAGATAGCTTCCTGAACAGCATCTGTTCAGAAAAAGAGTTTACACTCTTCAGGACGGAGATGCTAACCTGAGAGCAGGTCGGTCATGGGCAGCATTGATGTACAAGTAAGAGGTTTGCAAAGTCCAACTTGTCATGGTTCCTACTACTGAAAGTAGAAATACCTATAATGTAAATAATATTACAACAGCACATATGCAACGATTATAGTTCATGCCCAACGACCGGACTTGGTTTTTCTAACAATAACGTTCACAAAGAACCATGGCCTGGTGAAAGCGCTAAATGAATGGATTTCTTAGAGTGGCTTTCTGAACAGGCCACACATTCCTCTTCGTCCCACGGTATGTTTGGTCAGGTTCAGGTCAGTCACTCTTATCAGACACGTTAGCATCCAGTACCTAGTGTGACACTCCCTCCTCTCCTCTTTCTCCTCAAGAGATGCCAGCTAACGCCAGAGAAGCGAGGGAGAGGTCCTCTGTAACCAAAGTTGTGCCTCACATTACTGTGTCCCCAGGGTGTCCCGGCCTCCTTGTTCCAAGATTCCACCGGCACTTTGAGTCCTTGTCCTCCAGTCAGCTTCCTTACGACCATGCCGCCCATCACGTCTCCGAGAGCCACCTACAGACTCTGCTGAACAGTCCAGTGGAGCGTGGAGGAGCTACTGATCATGAGCTCCAGAAAAGTGAAGGGAACAGGAACAATGAGGAATACAGCGGCCAGCGCTGCCACCCTAACCATCTCCAACAGGAAAAAGCTTTGACCAACAGAGACCTGACAGACCACCCTCTGTCCCCCGTTAGCAGTAAGGCTGTTCCTGAGGTACAAGGGGTGGTCAGCATGGCCTACAGCGAGACGCCGTGGGAAATGATGGAGTGGCTGGAACTGGCACCACTCAGCTCAGCCGCCGCCTACAGTGATGCTCAGCCCAGTATGCCCAGTATCTTTAACGCTGAGTTCCTGGATGTCACAGACATTAACCTGAACTCTGCCATGGACCTTCAACTGCAGCACTGGTGAAAGTAAGACTACCACTGAACCGTGCCCTTTACTAGCTTCGATCCAAGTGTGACTCGCTTTGCTGTAATCCAAAGAAATGTTTTGTAGACGCCTAGACATTTTGTCTTGAATCTTAATTTTACTTAACATTTATTTTATCATCAAAACCAGAAACCAGGTGCTGTTTGGACCACGGAGAACAAAACTTCTATAGAAGGATGACAGACGTTTCCCTGTGGAGACATGGTTGCCATGCCGACACTCAAAGCACCATCAGTGGTATACCAGCCTGACTTAAAGACATCAGTCACCAGCGACCATATACCTGCTGGCTCTGTGATTGTGTTAGTGGCAACAAACAAAAAGATGCAAAGACGAAGAAGACTTCTGTCAATGCAGCGACAAGTACGCTTGGATTGTAAAGAGATCATAGCAAAGTGTTTAATTAGATGTAAATATGTGTATTAGTCATATATCAGGTGTGCTAGACTTTAACATCAGCTTTTCAAAAGTCTTTGACAAAAGCAGAGATGTTCCTTCTCCGGCGTGCAGATGTTCCAACTATTTCCTGGAATGTTCAGCGTCGTATCTTCACGGGGTTTTTGGACCAGCTCGCATTAAAGTCCAGCTATGGTTTTGGGCCCACCCGTTAAGTAAAACTCACTTAGCACTTAATTCATATTTATCACTAATTATCATTAATGGTTGTTGAACTGCTACGAAACGTTTTTTGTGCTGAACCATCTTTAATTTTGATGTTTATCCACAAGGAGGCGCTAGGGAGATCAAGTTAACCCTTATTCGACCTTAATGCATTTTTTTTTTTGTGCTCAAAGGACAAAAAAGTTAGAAAATTAAAGGGTTACATGAGGGTTAAAGCAGCACAAAAACGGCCTTATTTCACCACAGTTGTGTCTATACAACATATACATGAAGACATATACTTTTGTCCCATTTACACTTTTGTATTAACTCTCAGCATATAGTCCTTTTGAAAGCTCGGAGTCATTTAAAAAAGATAACTTTTCTCCTCACTAGTTGATAATTCCAGGCCAATCACAGTTATTTATTTCATCTTTTGTATTTATGATTGTGTCTTTACACTGACTGGCTTTACTGTTGAATGTTGTTGCTTTTTACCACTATTGTTATCAAACCTGATAGAAAAGTCATGTTTTCTTATATTTATTTTCTTTAGACGATCATAAATTGAATACGTTCATTCCAAACGCTTGTGAATAAGCAGGGTTTATATCCAGAAGCTAACTGTGAAGACCACACTACATCAGTCTTAACTGCCACCACAGCTGGTTTAGAACAACCACTGTATCTGTCCACTTTTTAGCATCAGCCAGAAACAGTAGAATAACATCCATGAAGCTCACAGCTAGCACAGCGCTGAACCCAGAAAGCTCATCAGAACCCCTAATTTGTTTGTATAAAGGCCTGGGGTCTCGTTTATCAAACGCTCATAGAAACTGTCCTATGTTCCCTCCTACGACTGAAATTTAGAATGTGTGTACGAACAGTCAAAAGACTGATTTATGAATCGTGCGGTGGCCTCTCGTACGCACGTTCCTCCGCAAAGTCTGACGATAAATCCCACCAGTGCGTACCCAGGTGCTCGTGTCCGTTCGCCATCATTTACATACAGAAACGCCCTCAATTAACCATATTGGTCACGCTACTCTTCAGCACGTGAGGGGATTCCGTTTTTTCCCGGAAAAAATAACTTTATTGACAGCAAGATCGAAACACTGGCTGCCAAAGCGCAAAAGAACCAAAGAAGTTTCAGAGGTTAAAAACGCGGTTGGGACAGAGGGGAGAGGTTCCTGTCGGGAATAAATTAAAAGTTATCTGATTCATCGTGGAGTAACGGGTTGTTAAGGAGTCGTTCTGTGGAGTTAGTTTTATTTGGAAATGTTGTCCGAGTGCAGCCTCAGCCATGGACGTAATTTTGGGGGGGGGGGGACGGGGGGACATGTCCCCCCCACTTTTTCCAAAGTCAAGTTTTGACCCCTGCACTTTTTACCATCCAAAAACAATATTACGCTATATTAAATTGACACTGGTTGAGCTCTAGGACCCAGCAGAAAACAACCGTTTGTGTTGAAGCCTGTTTCCCATTAGAACATACTGTAAAGATCCCCCCCCCCCCCCCCCCCCCCCCCCGTGTCCCCCCCCACTTCTAAAGTGAAAATTACGTCCATGGCCTCAGCCTCTTCTGAGCGGTCATTCAGTCTGGTTGGTGTGATCGGGGAGCAGGAGGAGGTTCTGGGGGGTTCTCGTAGTTATCTGTTGCTCTGCAAATGGTCCCAAATCCAGAGGCGCCTCCAGAAAATTTTGATAGAGGTGGCCAGATGGGGCCAAATAAATTTTTGGGGTGGCACATCAAATAGGTCCTTGTGGTAACTCTGGGAGAGCTTAGCCTGTAGCGATGTATTGCATTGCTCCTTTATTTATTTTTATTAAAATAACAGTACTTATCCAAAACATTTAATTAAATTTTACCAACACAAACATTTCAGAAAAAGACATTTCAGTTATTTAAAATGGTATTCCAAATTTTATTTAAAATTACATTTTTTAGCTTAATTCACCTGTTGCTGTTCATAAAAAAATAAAAACCATGGGGATAAAAACTTTTTTTTAAATGGTGAGCAGCGGAAACACATGCATTTATTTTTTATTCCTATTATTTATTTACTTAAGTGTATTATTTTTATTTTGTTTTACAATCATGTCTTGATTAACAAGATCAATATATGATTTGACTGAACATTAATATGATTTATTAACACTGACTTTTCCTGGGGGGACCAGCACCTTTCTAGGGGTGGCCATGGCCACCCCTGGCCACCCCTTGGGGCGCCCTTGCCCAAATCACAGCATAGCAGAAGGATTTCCTTTGAGATTGCAGCGCTCACGGAGGACGCTCCAGTGTGCACATTCTGGTAAATCCTCCAATAACACAGATCAGCCGTGATATAATGTCAGATTCCCGTCGCTAACAGTGTCTTTTACTGGTTTCAACACCAATTATGCAAAAAAGCCGCTTTTCCACTGACAAAATAAAATTTGTGGATGAGAAACATTTGGATGACTCGCATAATTGGTGCTAAAACCAGTAAAAGGCACATGACCGACGGGAATCTGACATCATGACTAATCTGTTATTTGAAGATTTAATAGAGCGTGCTGTCTGGAGGGATCGCGTTCTCCGTGAGGAAGAAATCCTTCTGCCATGCTGGGATTTGGGACCCTTTGTGGTGCGACGGAAAAATCTCATGAATCCCATTCCAGTTCGTATTTTATTTTACAACTACGAGAACCCCCCTGAACCGCCTCCTGCCCCCCGATCATACACACAACCAGACTGAATGACAGCTCAGAAGAGGCTGCACTCAGCCAGTGTCTCAATATCACATCAATAAACTTTATTTTTTCTGAAAAAAAAAAAACAAAAACAAAAAAAACTGGGAATTTCCTCACGTGCTGAGGACGTAGTGTAACCAAATATGGTTAAATGAGGGCGTTTCTCTATGTAAATGACTGAGAACGGACACGAGCACCTGGGTACGCACAGGTGGGCCCAGAGTCACTGAGGAAACCACTTTTACTTGTTCCATTTCAACTATGAACAAAAGGAAGTACATGATTTTATTCGTATGTGCTCAAATTTCTGCATTTTAGGAAGGGGAATAAAAGGAAGTAACGTGTGAAGCGAGGGGGTAAGTTGTACTCTTGGGGCATTGCTGAAGGGATGGGGGTATAATGAGGTTTCAGACTGGGTTTGATGCTCGTCCTATTCCAAACCGTGCTGGCGTATCCGGTCCTTAGCCCAGCACCCACAATGCTCCACAGGAACCAGTGGGTCTAGAACCAGATGGATGGTGTTAATCCAGGATGACAGAGGCCTCAAATCAGCTGAGTCATGTTTGGTTGTTTCAGCTGAGTCATGTTTGGTTGTTTCAGTTTAAATTGGACATTTTGATCTGATCCGAAGTTTCTCAGGCAGCCCTTTTTTGCTGTTTCTAAAGACACGGCTACGACACCATTTTCTAATCACGACTGTAAACCTCTGCTGTGATGTCATTGGTTTGTTTCCCGTATTTCAGTCACACATGTAGTCGTTTCTATTAAGGTCACTGAAATCTTCATATTTACTGAGCAAATGTGAAAGTGGTGTTTATTGTCTCTTCACTGAAGGTAACGGCAGTTATTTCACTGATTATCTGCCGCCCGTGTTGCTTCGGCTGATTATGGCCTTTACGTGTTGCGACAGTTCACGTGTTATTTTCTTCTACGGTGGGGGTTTCTCTTATGGTTGTAGTGTAATCTTCTGGACATTGTTCTTTTCCACTAGGGCTGATTTTGAACCAAATACAGTGGAAAACAAACAAATCGCACATATTACACCTGACAGAAGCTTTCTTGTTGCTTGGCCACCGACTTGCCTTAATATTGTAAACAAATGTATCCTGTCAGCAGATCTGTATACAACGTAAAGACGAGCAATAAAACGATCACAGCAAAATTACTTCTGCATCTCTTTTATTCATGTCGAATAGACAAGCAGCACACGACACAAGGCTTCCGCCTTATCGGAGGGAACTTTATTAAAAGATTATCATCACTGGTCTTGATATCTTTTATTGTAATATCAATGCTCTATGACAGTGGTTCCCAACCTTTTTCCCAAGGGACCCCGTTTTTTACCAGTAAAATTTCTGACGACCCCCTCCCATTCTCTCTTCCAGTACAAACATGATTAAGAAATGATAAAATTGTTCAAGCACATTTTAATATGCTTTGATTCAATAGATAACAGTAATAGTCGGCTCCAGTACAGAACAAAGTCATTAACAAAACCAAACAGAGCATCATGTGCTTGACAGTTTGTATTATTTGTCTGAACACATTGTTTCTTGTAAACACCGATAAATCAATCATTCCTTTCAATAAACGTTTGACACATAAAAATACACTGAGCAAAATGTACTTAAATGTGTATATTACTGATTATACTAGATTATTTACTGTAAAGGCTGTGATTAATCAACCAGTCCTATCTTTAATGAACTTTTGACACTTGAAAATAAAACAGTGAGCTGAGCAAAATGTTCTTAAAAGTGTGTTACTCTTTCTGTACTAATTATTTCCCGTCTTAATATCAGTAAACTGTTCACTCATGAAAAAAAATGTGAGCAAAATGTAGGCTATAAACAATAAATGAAGTTTTAACCCCTTAAAGTGGAGAGGTCCTGGCGACCCACTGAGAGGCTTTGGCGCCCCCTTGTGGGGGTCGGGACCCCCAGGTTAGGAACCACTGCTCTATTAAATAGCAATTTTTACAACATGTGCCATGGACACGGCTGCCAGCAGTAAGTTAGCTTCCCAAAAACATCCCATGACCCCAAAAAAATAAAGATAAAATAATTAGATTTAATTATTACATTAAAAGAAAACACATCTGTAAGTTTTGCACCAACTTATAAGAATCTTAAGTACAAACCCTCAGAAGAGCCCTCCAGGTTTCCCCAGCAGAACGGGCCAGGATCATGTAGACAACAGCTAAATATGGTTTATCAATAAAGCTTTGTGGTTTTGAACATAAACATTTCACACATTCTATTAAATGAAAATAATAAAGCATATTTCCTGACATTTTCCATTTTGAGCAACAACACTAGTAATGCACCGGTATTACTGACACCATCATTTTCAGGGAGTGTGTTGCATCACATTGAAAAACTATGTCAAGCAGATTATTTGGCCTCAAACCGACATAAAGCTTAGTGTCTAATACAGCATCAGTACCTCACTGGGCTGCCACTAGCTCCATCATCTGCTTGGTTCTCACTGGGAAACCGACAATCCTCGCAGATGTTTCGTAACATCGTAAAACCTTTCTTACAATGCTGTTTGAGATTTGCCATCAGCAGTCACAGCCCCATACGGTACTGGCTTAAAGCCCCAATCTGCTTTAAGGAACTAATGCAACACGTCTGGTGGTGGACCAACTGGTCTCATGCTGCATTTAACCATTAAAGGCGGACAGCTCTGGGAACCTGTGAGAATAAAGCTGCCTTTTCCAGTAAAGTCCGTCATACCATTATATGTGTCTACTAGATTCCACAGAAACAATTTGTTGTTGGTTTTGTAATCAACTCCACGATCTTCAGCTCAGAACCTGCCTGAAAAACCTAGCTTGTCGATGGGCGAGGTGTTCAACATAAAAATACATCAACAGGCAGGCCAGAGACATGTGAGACCACAGAAGCATGCCGAGTGTCTGGTGACCTTGTGGGTCAGTAAGCCTGCAATGAGGTGGCTGTAGTCCGAAGACCACGTGAGTAGCAGCATCATCCTTTCATGTTTGTTTACCTTTGCTGCCTGCCTGTACATGTGAGCTCTGACTGTTCTGTGCCAGACTGATACAATCGACAGTTTTTCTCTAAAGGAAACAGTTTTAAGTCACATTTCTTCTTGTTGACTCTGTTCAAGAACGAAGCTGAAAGCGGTTACAGCTAATCTGAAACTAAGCTAGGGTTTGACACAAACATTGTCTCAGAACTCACCGTTGCCCTCGGGTATCTTCCCTGGATCCACATTCACTGGAAGCCTACATGGGGCGACGGTGGCACGGGACACCAGTGTGTGAATGATTGATTGTGTTGTAAAGCACCTTGGGGGTTTCCGGGACTCTAGAAGGCGCTGTACCAAACACAAGCCATTTACCTCGCCACAGTAAACAACAACGTGCTAAATACCAGTCACTATTTTCAAGGTACAACCGTCTTTTGATGTTTGTGACTTCAAATGGTGTTTTTCTTTTAGGGACTCTGGTAGCTTGTCCTAAAGTTGAAGTGGTAGCAGCCGGCTGTTTCTCCTCCTCTGATGCTGTTGAGGGAGACCTCACACCAAAAAACGTGAATGCGTAATGGCTGGAGGAGCCAGGGAGGTGCGGCGCTTCTGCGAGACAAACGCCTTCACAATACATCTATAGCTGTACTGTTAGAACGTTGTTAAAAGGCACGACGACAATGTTTTAAACTAATTTGTTTCCCACATTTGCTATTGCAGCTTGAACGTCTGAGCAGAACCTGCCAGGGACAGCCCACCTGGATGACATCACTTATGCACATCCATGCACATGAAGTTACTTAACACCACGCAGTGTCGGGTTGGATCTAGTTTGTTCCTCTCCAGTGTTTCAGACACACGAACCGCCCTGTTGATCTTTGCTAAAGCCAAAATTTTAATATTAGGCAAAGGCTTATAACTTATAAAGAATACTCTGCTGGTCTCATTTTGAGACCATTAAATCTTAAAATCAATTCAGCGTTGTGTTTGCCTAGTGGCAAATCCACTGGTGCAGTTGTCAGAAACAAACAGAACGCTCATGCTGTGTTTTTAAAAAAGACAGCAGGCGTTGTTGAAATGGTGAAACTATGATGTTGTGTTGAGTCACTTTGAGGTAAAGAAAAGAAAAGATAAGCATTTTTTTTTTTGCCAAGAAAAAAGTCCTGATACGATTTTCTAGAATAAAGTCAAACATTCCGTATCATTGAAATGAAGTGATCAGTTTGTTAGCACCAGGCATTATTGTAGGCCTCTGATGAATGGGGGGTTGACTCATTTTCAATCAAAAATAACGATTCCAGAATCTTGATTTTCACTTTGCACTTTTTCTCTAAATATTTGGAACACGGTAAATGTACCCAGTTTAATATTTCTGTTTTCCTCAACATTTAGACGTAATACTAGACATAATATTAATCTTTCCCTCAACATTTAGTATTTAATTCAGCTGTTTTTAACATTTCTACTTTAAAAGTGGGAAGTAAAAATAAATAAATCTGTCTTCTCATCTTTCTCCTGAAAGATGCTTTCATGCTAAACACCCAAAGAACACCTGAGTCGCGATGTTCACGCCTCGGCTGACCAGCCCTTCAGGCGTTTTCATCCAATTACGTGTTTGTTTTTAGTCTCGGTAGCAGACTTCTGATGGTAAAAAAGCCATTTGACTCCTGGATGATATTAGAAACTTCCAGCAACACCCCCGTTAAGCATTTGTTTTAGCAAAAATGAACAAAGTTTTTCTTTATTCAGTTGTTGAAAAGCAACAATAACAGCAAAGAAATGGCATCCTTACAACTGTGATTCGAACAAGATGACCCGAACAACAAACCGAGAGCAGCCCTCAGCGTGAGAAACATCCCATAACATTTTAGGACATACTCTCACAGAATGCATATTGTAAAGCTACAAAAATAAACTAAAGCCACATAACCAAATCCATGAGTTTCCAGAAAGACTTTTGCATACCTGTAGATTTGTGAGGTGTGAGGGTGCTCACCACAACACACGCTTCTAAAGTGTAGAGAGGAGGTCCATCAGCACTCATCGGTGCAGTTGAGAGGTGAACACAAGCATACATGAAGCTGAAGCTCACATCATCAACTCATTATTTGGAAGATTACGTTTTTGTGATTGAGTTCAAGTATAGACGTGTACTTGAATTGTTTTGTTATGGAGAAAGACGAGCTGCACTTTACTAAGAACACGACTTCTTTAAGTTTTTCTGGCAGTTGGTGGATGGTATTTTTAAATTAGGTAATGGGAGAAGGAAAGGATTTTTTATATAATCATTCATTGCACCAAGCAACCTGGATTTATTTTTTTCTGTTCTTTGGAACAACAGGTGACCCAGCTTTGATGGCTGAGATGACAAAAGCATGGCACCACCAACCACAAATTAAATGAAACCCACCCACAAACCCTTGTTGGCATCAGTCGACATACATAGGAGAGACGGGCGAGGAGGGGATCTGATCCAGGATGCGACTCACGTAACTGGCAACGTCCACAAAGCGCTCCTCGTACATCAGAATAAAAGGGTGTTTCTGAGGAAGGACACAGAAAGATTCAGGCTGATTTATGTCTCCATAGCATTACAAATGATTTACAATCACCATACTGAGTTTAGTTATAAAGGTACAATCTCCCATCTCCAGCTAAGCTGCCAAAACACACAGTGTTGGTTTCATCTGAAGCAATCCACCAGATACAACAGCTAAATCATGTCACATTCTACAGATCTGTTCTGTGGGGTACCCCAGGGCTCTGTTTTGGGTCCACTGTTGTTTCTACTGTACATACACCCTCTTGGACAGATACTTGATTTTTTACATAATGTCTCTTATCACCTATATGCAGATGACATTCCGCTGTACTGCTCCTTTAAGGATTCTGAGTTCTACAAACTGTCTGAATTACCAGAGTGTCTATCAGCGATCACAAGCTGGCTAGGAGATAACTTGCTTCAGTTAAACTCTGAAAAGACTGAATGTCTGATCATTGCCCCTGAGAGCATGGTTCCCCTGATTAGTCTAAAACTTGGGTCAGTTATCCTCTGTCGTCACGACAAACTTAAGAAATTTGGGTGTTTTTGACCAATCAATGTCTCTTGAAGGTCACTCAAAAACGTTGGTCTGAAACAGTTTTTACCACTTAAGAAATATCTCCAAACTGCAAAGGTTGGTGTCAAAACATGAACTTGAAATGGTTCTCCATGCCTTTATCTCCTCCCGTCTAGATTACTGTAACACACTCTTCACATGTTTTAACAATAATCCCTGACCACCTTCAGTTGGTCCAGAACTCTGCAGCGAGGCTCCTAACTGGAGCAAACAGAAGAGCACACATCACTCCTATTCTGGTGTCTCTGCACTGGTTACCCGTTAACTTTCGAGTTCATTTTAGAGTCCTGACTAGAACTTTCAGGGCTCTACATGGTCAAGCTCCTCCCTATATTACTGAACTGTTAAAGCCTTATGCTCCAACCCGAGCCCTCAGGTCCACCCACCAGAACCTTCTAGAAGTTCCAAAGACCAGATATAAAAGTCGAGGTGATTGCTCCCTCCAGATTATTGCACCCCGACTCTGGAATGATCTTCCTTTATCCTTACGCAGCATCGACAGTCAGGACACTTAAAACAGCTAAAGACTCTTTTATTTAAAGCTGCTTTTACATAAATCTTTTAACTCCAGTTTGGAATAATCTTTAATTTGTTTTAAGATATTTGATCATTTTATGACTTTTTTTCTGATGTTAATCCATTTCTGTTTTGAGATCATTATAATTTATTTTGTTTTAATCTATGTGAAGCACTTTGTGATTCCATGTCTGTGATGAGTGCTATGTGAATAAAATTTACTAACGTACTAAAAGCATTTGTCTGAACGTGCTTTTTAAATACCAGGCATAATGGAGGCTGAACTTTTCTTGAAATGATTTTCCAGGACTTTTCCAGATGCCACAGTACAAGTCAAGTTATCGCAACTGAGACTGGGCGATAAAGATAACCTCACAATAACTTTACCTTCTGATTACATGAAATAAAATCTGTTCATAACACGAGTCCCAAACGAGTACCAGTCAAGTCACGAGTCTTTGTTTTATTCAAAGCAGCAAAAGTGGCAAATCTGCAAAACAGGCACATACAGTCACAGAACTCTCACCCCTCCTATTGGCTGGCATCCCTAGGTCACGCCCCGACACCAGAACGCGCACTGCCGCAGTAAGCAAAGGGAGTGCTAAACACCAGTTGATGTTGGTCTTTTTGGGACTCGGGTAGGTTGTCCTAAAGTTGAAGTGGTAGCAGCCGGCTGTTTCTCCTTCTCTGATGTTAGTGAGCGAAGAACCTCACACCAGCTGTGTTCTGTTGCTAAATACACGAGTGTGTGATGAGTGGAAGATCCCAGTAAACGCAGAAGTGCGTTGATCCAGTGAGACCTACAACTGGAAGGTCCAATCTTTGGTTTTGGACTGAGCTGTGCGATTGGCTTGTTTTTTTTATTTCCACAAAATATGTATAGCTATGTTAGAATGTTGTTGAGACATGAAAAAATGTTAAGCTAGCTTGTTTTGCAGATTTGCCATTGTAGCTCTTAATCAAGTCCAAGTCCCAGACCTGACTCCACATTTCTGCTGAAACTCACCAGAAGCTCCCTGTACTTTGGCCTCTTTGATTCATCCTTTGTAAGGCTGGACAGAAAAAAAAAACAAGTACAGCATTCAAATAAAATGCTATTTTAGATTCAAACAGACGAATGTAGCAACTGCTAAAACTTTCAGGGGCTTCATATTTAGCTGGAACCTAAAACATCTAAATGTTGATCAAAGTATGCAATGCAGAGAATGAAATGACACTTACCATAGGTTAACAAAGTTGATAAACTTTGGAGAGAACTGCCTCTCCTCCGAGTTGCTGAGGTGGGGAGGCTCTCCTTTCACCACTTGAGTCAGCTGATCAAAAACACTATTCCACTTGGGGTAAGGAAACCGCCCAGTGGCCAACTCATACTGAAAACAAACCCAGTTACCAACATGTTCTACTACGACACAGGAGATATCAATATTAATGTTCCATGATGAACCAGCTTCTCTTACCAGAGTGATTCCCAAACTCCAAACATCAGACCGGACATCGTAACCTTGTCTGGAAGCACTGGGATCTATCCTTTCAGGCTGGGAACACACAGATACACATTCAGTAATAATTATATTATTCATGCAGGACTAACTCTGCTTGTAGAAGTAAGAAGAATGAATTAAATGCCTGATTTCATTTAAAAGTCATTGAGTGAATTGAATATTTGGGCCACAACCGACCACGGCTCAGTAGCCATTTGGTAGAGAAAATTTTGTTGGCAAACAGAGTAAGACGTTTCTTGAAGTAGGTCATTAGGTTTTCACACCCCTCAGGAGGAACTTTTGCCCATTTCTCTTTCCAGAAAGTATCTGAATCCTTTTAATTTATTCAGCCATTTCTGCTTTGTTGCCTGGGTGATTTGTTTTTGGGCCACGCTGTGCTGATGGACCCATCACAAGCCCCCTCTTCAGATTTCCAAATGAGGAAAGACGGCACTTGTCCAAGATGTTATGGTCCATTATCCTCTCCATAGGCCCTTCAATGTGTTGTAGTGGATCAATAGTTACATCTTACATAGGAAACCATCAAAGGTGAGATTCCATAGAAAATATGGAATCAATTTGATGGATCTTTGAATACTACCTTTAACCAGAAGATCGGAACTTTTTATTGCAGGGATTAGGTAACACTTCGTAACAACCCAGAGTCAAAAGAGAGAGACAAGTTTTAAAGTTTAAGAAGATTTTTTCCAAACAATTTAAAACAAGGCTAACTAAACATTGTGTGATGAATGGATCTAGGTGTGAATGAGGCAAAATGGAGGGTGTAATGTGGAATGTTGTTATCAGAACTGTCGTTTCCGGAGAAGCGTTAGTTCTGTGTGGGAGCGAATGTTTTGCTCTAAACTATAGTCGGAGTTTCAAAAACCACATTCAGGCGCTATCTCGCCGTTCTACATACCCTCGCGGAGACCGCCGTTGCAGATCCAGAATGCCAGGTTCTCGGACCCCCCTTTGGTACCGGAGCCGGTGAAACAGCGTACGGTATGACAGACTAGTCTTGGGATTGCCTCCAGGTAAGCGACAGGTGTTTGACAGCGTCAGCAGGACCCTGAAGGGTCAGTGAGTGCAGCTTTTACTCTGAAGGAGCGTTGCGTCAGGTGGAGCTTGCAACAGGTTTTATTTTCCAGCTTGTCGTTAGGTTCTTTGTGGTTAAAAAGTTACGAGTGGCCGGCTCGCAACTCTAGAACGTTTGAACTGAGTTAAGGATGACGTGGGAGTTAGTTTTATAATTCAGATGTTTTCTTCAGATGTTTATGGTCGAATCAGAATTGGACACAAATATAAACACCGCACAGATTATGCCACGCGTCAGAAAGGAAAGCTCTGATTGGAGAGACAAAGGAATGTGTCATGTGATTTACCATTACGTGTGATCAGTCTAGTGTGTAGTTTAAAAGTTATATTACTTATTAAAAACTATCATAGGATTATAATATCAAGTAATTAATATTCTCATTTCACAGATCGATTTAACATTGAGCTTTACATGATTATTTGGACTAACACAGGTATTTGATTATTATTTAACAGAAGAGAGTTCTGATCTTCTTTCTTCTCTTGAGCTGTAGGGGGAGGCAAATAGCTAGTTAAACAGTTTAGATGCAGAGGCATCAAAAGGCCTTGAGCAATATCTCAAGGTTGTTGATTCTTCATGAGGAGAGGGGAGAAGACAGTCCCTTCATGACGCTACAGTGTCAGAGTCATTCTGTACACTCAGCAGAAAACAAGCTACAAGCACAATGCTTCCACCTCTATGCTTGCCTGTGGAGATGATGACCTCCGGGTCAGACGCTGTATTTCTGCACCTCTAAAGGCCACAGGTTAAGCTGATGCCAACGAGTTTGATTTTGGTCTCACTGACACCTCAGTGCTCCCTTTAAAACTTTCTTTAAACATTCAGATGTCCACAGACAAACTTATGAAGGACCTGATGGGGCTTCTTGAGCAGGGGAACACTGTACATGAGTGTTCTCAGTGATGCTTGATGTTAACAAGCCCCTCCAGGACAGCTGTGGACCGACACAGGATGTGTCTCATGATCATTCTCACCCCACGAGGTCCAGACAGGTGACTGCACCAGCAGGTACCTTCTCAGGCTCTCTGCTGATGGCTTCACAGCCTTGAGAAGGTCTGCTATATTTTACCTGGTCCATATTTTCATGCAGTGCTCCAGTTCTGAACAGCTGCTTCTATTTAATCAAGTTTAAGTACATTCCCTCACTATCTAGGGCATCCTTACATGAGAAACAATATCTACTTAATCTTTTTATTCATATAGGTTATCCCAGCTTATTGGTCATAAGTAGAGGTAAGCTCTTAAAGCACTACATTTACCGACTCCTACACATGATACTATGTTTCTACACTCATCAGAAAATAAGTAATGTTCACAGACATCCAAACCTTAGAAATTAAATCAATTAAATATTAAAACAAAAAACTATTATTCTTTTTTTCAATAAAAGATTAGTTATCTGTGAAGACTTAATGTTGTCCAACTGAGGCAGACATCTGCTTATTTAACACAGCTGAGCTGTGGGAGAAAATATTCAGACTTTTTAAATCTTATTTTCTATCACATACTGTGGCTTTAGTGTATTTATTAACTTACTATTAATTATAAAATTATAAATAACAGGTCACTACTGTCTGGGCATAGAAAGTGTTTCTAGGAACTAAAGCAGCAGCTCACCTGTTCCTTCCACACTCTCAGCAGCAGCAGGTGATCAACAGAGACGTAACTGAACACCGGCCCGAGAAACACACTTTTTGCGCCACTTAGAGCGCTAAATGGATGTGATCTTGAAGAAAGTCACTGCATGTTATGGGCAAGTTTAAACCCAATAACTGGATTTACTGAGAGACCGAATGATGAGTTAAAAACTGAAAGGCAGGCAGGACCTTATCTCTGCCTGACCCAAACAAATTCTTATCTGAATGTGGCGTCCTGGTAGCCTTGAGCTGCGAGAAGAAAAATAAACTCTACAAAGGGATGCAGACAGATGCTGTAATAAGCAGAGAGACGACCAAGTCACTGCTTTGCAAGTCACAAGTCTTTCCAATCAAGTCTCCAGTCAAGTCCAAGTCAAAGACAACCAAGTCCAAGTCAAGCCAAAGTCCACAACTTTGAACTTTCAAGTCATAATCAAGTCATCTGTCCAACTTCAATTTAACGACAGTGATAAATAAATTCCAGAATTAAAGCTTCTTGAAGCTTCGTTTATTTGCTCAAACAGCAGAAACTGAAACTGATTATAAACGAAGAGCTGCTGCAGTCAGCAGTACAAGATCAAACCCAGAGCCAAGAATGATTCATGATTTTTGTCCATGTCGAGCCACTTTTGTGCTAAATATCAAATATGCTCAAGTCATCATCAAGCCAACAGGTGCAAGCCGATTCAAGTCGCAAGTCATTGTGTTCATGTCCGAGTCAAGTCGTAAGTCTTTATAGATTATCAAGTCAAGTCAGAAGTCATTAAAATAATGACTCGTGTCCAAGACATATGACTCGAGTCCACACCTCTGGTAATAAGTCCTTCTCTTGAATCCCCTCATCTTGGCTGGAAAGCCACGTTCTCATGCAGAAGACGAGACATCTACTCTCTGAATAAAGCTCATCTTTCTTGGCTCATAAATGACTACATAATCCTATTCTGGTGATGACATTATGTTTAAATCCAAAGTGTTTGATTAATGTGTCCTTTACTTTATATTAATGAATGATGGGTTAAAATGAATACTTTTCTTGTAATGATTCAATTCAGATCTTAAACAACACCAGATCAGTAATTGTTGATTCTAGTAATTTAATCTATCAGTACAAATGCACTGATATCACTTCTTATTATTACTGTTTAACATTATTGCTCCACATAACTGTTGCACCATTTTCATTTCACACTAAGAGTTAACCTCTAAGTATCTCCAAGTATAAGAGGGGATTCTCTGAGGTCTTTGGGAACGCCCTGTAAATGGCCTGTATTTGATATAGCGCCTTCTAGAGTCCTGGAACCCCCCAAGGTGCTTTACAACACAATCAGTCATTCACCCATTCACACACACATTCACACACTGGTGGTGATGAGCTACGATGTAGCCACAGCTGCCCTGGGGCGCACTGACAGAGGCGAGGCTGCCGAGCACTGGCGCCACCGGTCCCTCCGACCACCACCAGCAGGCAACGTGGGTTAAGTGTCTTGCCCAAGGACACAACGACAGCGACAGACTGAGCGGGGCTCGAACCTGCAACCTTCCGATTACGGGGCGAGCACTTAACTCCTGTGCCACCGTCGCCCAACAACGGCCAACGTCTTTAAACTTGTCAAATTCTGATTTGTCTAAATTTGTCAACATTTAATAAATACAAGGATCACTTCCTGATCTAGTCAGTTCTCCAGCCGCCTCCCGATTACACCGATCGGGTGAACAAGCATTTGGAACCATTCTCTCTTTTGACCAAGGTCACAGTCGCTCTGCCACGCTTGCGAGTGAAATCAGACACAACAGCCTTGGAGGCAAAATAGATACGCCAGCTTCCTGCCGTCACCTGGAGGGTATCTCAGACTAGATGGGTCATTCTCGGAGCTAGACTACGGGTTCTGTTGCCCTAGGTCCAGTACCGGCAGTGTCCATCCCGACCTCTTGACCCCCCTGGATCGGATGGGGACACAAAGAGTGCAGAGACTCGGCACAAATGGCGTTGGATGGTTTTATGAATAATCTCTAGCTTATCAAACCATACAGCCAAACTGGTTTTACAACCCAGACATCACAAGATCTCTTAGATCCTTAACCAGTTTCTGCTAAAACATCTAGCTCACATTCCACTAGGGCTGAAACGAATCATCGAATGATTCGAATGGTTGGATTCGTTCAGTTTCTTGATTCATTTTTTACAGATTCGAAGCTTCGTTAAATGTGCGCTCCACAGTCTGAACACATTTTACAGGTGCACTACGTGGTGACCTAGGTGCTGTGGAGGAAAATAGAGAAACCAGCAAAGACAGAAACCATTTTAAAAGGCAGAAATGGTCCAAAGTTTGGGATCAAGAGTTAAACTATGGGTGGATTGGCTAATGCTAAGCTAGCAGGTGGCATTCTCACGAGCAAGTATGGTTCAGAAAAAAACGTGGTGGTTGTGAACGACTAAACTCCACAAGCGTTTATTTGTGGATCTCTGCAGCGGTGTGGAGCAGAGCCGCTGCAGCTACCGTCTGGTTGTTGCTACGAGTCCGCTCCATCCACCGCAGACACTTTGGCAAGCCTTTGTAGCATATAATTCAATAACACTTTATATGGCAATACAATGTAGACTAGATTTTGTTGCCAACCCGTACATAATAAGATAAATACCACAAGTACATTGTTAACAGTAGAAATTAAATGTTAGCGTTTCTAGTAGCTTACCACTGAACAAGTTAATGAAATAATTAAATATTACTCGTTATATGTGAATAGATTTAGATGTGTTATTTTGACTAGGATGAGGTCAATACAAACCTAAATTGAGAATGAAATGCAAGTCAAATGTTGTCTCTCGTCTCGTCTCGTCTTCCTCCGCTTATCCGGGTCCGGGTCGCGGGGGCAGCATCCCAACTAGGGAGCTCCAGGCCGTCCTCTCCCCGGCCTTGTCCACCAGCTCCTCCGGCAGGACCCCAAGGCGTTCCCGGACCAGATTGGAGATGTAACCTCTCCAACGTGTCCTGGGTCGACCCGGGGGCCTTCTGCCGGCAGGACATGCCCGAAACACCTCCCCGGGGAGGCGTCCAGGAGGCATCCTGACCAGATGCCCAAACCACCTCAACTGGCTCCTTTCGATCCGGAGGAGCAGCGGTTCTACTCCGAGTCCCTCCCGAATGTCCGAGCTCCTCACCCTATCTCTAAGGCTGAGCCCGGCCACCCTACGGAGGAAACTCATTTCGGCCGCTTGTATCCGCGATCTCGTTCTTTCGGTCATTACCCAAAGCTCATGACCATAGGTGAGGATTGGGACGTAGATCGACCGGTAAATCGAGAGCCTGGCTTTCTGGCTCAGCTCCCTCTTCCCCACGACAGATCGGCTCAGCGTCCGCATCACTGCAGACGCTGAACCAATCCGCCTGTCGATCTCCCGATCCCTCCTACCCTCACTCGTGAACAAGACCCCGAGATACTTAAACTCCTCCACTTGAGGTAGGACCTCTCCCCCGACCCGGAGGTGGCAAGCCACCCTTTTCCGGTCGAGAACCATGGTCTCAGATTTGGAGGTGCTGATCCTCATCCCAGCCGCTTCACATTCGGCCGCGAACCTACCCAGCAAGAGCTGAAGGTCAGAGCTGGATGAAGCTAGGAGGACCACATCATCCGCAAAAAGCAGAGACGAGATTCTCCTGCCACCAAACTCGACACACTCCACACCACGGCTGCGTCTAGAAATTCTGTCCATAAAAGTGATGAACAGAACCGGTGACAAAGGGCAGCCCTGGCGGAGTCCAACCCTCACTGGGAACAGGTCCGACTTACTACCGGCTATGCGGACCAAACTCACGCTCCTCTGGTAAAGGGACTGAATGGCCCTTAACAGAAAGCCACCCACCCCATACTCCTGGAGCGTCCCCCACAGGGTGCCCCTGGGGACACGGTCATAAGCCTTCTCCAAATCCACAAAACACATGTGGATTGGTTGGGCAAACTCCCATGCCCCCTCCATCACCCTTGCAAGGGTATAGAGCTGGTCCACAGTTCCACGGCCAGGACGAAAACCACATTGCTCCTCCTCTATCTGAGATTCAACTATCGATCGGACCCTCCTCTCCAGTACCTTGGAGTAGACCTTTCCAGGGAGGCTGAGGAGTGTGATCCCCCTATAGTTGGAACACACCCTCAGGTCACCCTTCTTAAAGATGGGGACCACCACCCCGGTCTGCCACTCCCTAGGAACTGCCCCCGATGACCACGCAATGTTGTAGAGACGTGTCAACCATGACAGCCCTACAACATCCATAGCCTTGAGATACCCAGGACGAACCTCATCCGCCCCCGGGGCTCCGCCGCTGTGTAGTTGTTTGACTACCTCAGCAACTTCTGCCCCCGAGATCGGACAGTCCATCCCCAGGCCTCCCAGCTCTGGTTCCTCCTCGGAATGCGCATTGGTGGGATTGAGGAGCTCCTCAAAGTATTCCTTCCACCGTCCGACTATAGCCTCAGTTGACGTCAGCAGCTCCCCATCCCCACTGTAAACAGTGTGAGCGAGTTGCTGCCTTCCTCTCCTGAGGCGCCGGACAGTTTGCCAGAACCTCTTTGGAGCCGATCGATAGTCTTTCTCCATGGCCTCACCAAACTCCTCCCACGCCCGAGATTTTGCCTCGGCAACTGCCACTGCTGCACCCCGCTTGGCTATCCGGTACCTGTCTGCTGCCTCCGGAGACCCACAGACCAGCCACGCCCTGTAGGCCTCCTTCTTCAGCCTGACGGCTCCCCGAACCTCTGGTGTCCACCAGCGGGTACGGGGGTTGCCACCACGACTGGCACCGGCCACCTTACGGCCACAGCTAGCAACAGCCGCCTCGACAATCGCAGAGTGGAACAAGGCCCACTCGGACTCAATGTCCCCCACTGCTCTCGGGACGTGGTCAAAGCTCTGCCGGAGGTGGGAGTTGAAGACCGTCTTGACAGGTTCTTCTGCCAGGCGTTCCCAGCAGACCCTCACTATGCGTTTGGGTCTGCCAGGTCTACGCGGCATGTTCCCTTGCCATCTGATCCAACTCACCACCAGGTGGTGATCAGTTGACAGCTCCGCCCCTCTCTTCACTCGGGTGTCCAAAACATACGGCCGCAGGTCAGATGATACGACTACAAAATCTATCATCGACCTGTGACCTAGGCTGCCCTGGTACCAAGTGTACCGGTGGGCATCCTTATGTTCGAACATGGTGTTCGTTATGGCCAAACTGCGGCTTGCACAGAAGTCCAATAACAAAACACCGCTCGAGTTCAGATTAGGTGGGCCGTTCCTCCCAATCACACCCCTCCAGGTCAAGCTGTCATTGCCCACGTGAGCATTGAAGTCCCCCAGCAGGACAATGGAGTCCCCTGATGGAGCACTATCTAGCACTCGTCCCAGGGACTCCAAAAAGGGTGGGTACTCTGAACTGATATTTGGCCCATAAGCACAAACAACAGTCAGGACCCGTTCCCCGACCCGAAGGCGCAAGGAAACTACCCTCTTGTCCCCCGGGGTAAACCCCAACACACAGGCAGAGAGTCTCGGAGCTAACAAAAAGCCAACCCCAGCCCTCCGCCTCTCACCCGGAGCAACTCCAGCAAAGTAGAGTGTCCAACCCCTCTCCAGGTCTCGGGTTCCAGAGCCAATGCAATGTGTCGAGGTGAGTCCGACTATATCTAGCCGGTACCGCTCAACCTCTGCCACAAGCTCCGGCTCCTTCCCCGCCAGCGAGGTGACGTTCCATGTCCCAAAAACTAGTTTTCTTGTCCGGGGATTGGACCGCCAAGGCTCCCGCCTTGGTCTGCCACCCGATTCGCATTGCACCGGACCCTTCATGTTCCTCCTGCGGGTGGTGGGTCCACAGTTGGACGAGCCCATGTATCCGGTTCGGGCTGGGCCCGGCCGGGCCCCATGGGCGAAAGCCCGGCCACCAGGCGCTCGCTCACGGGCCCCAACCCCAGGCCTGGCTCCAGGGTGGGACCCCGGTAACCCTCCGGGCCGGGTACTCCGACTCTTCATTTTAACCGCCATGAAAGATCCTTCAAACCGTTCTTTGTCTCACCCTTCACCTAAGACCAATTTGTCATGGGAGACCCTACCAGGGGCACTAAGTGCCCCAGACAACATAGCTCCTAGGATCATTAGGGCACTCAAACTCCTCCACCACGATAAGGTGACGGTTCAAATGTTGTTCCATAAAATATTTATTAACAATAAATATCAGCTGGAAAAAGAGGGAACTAGACAACACCAACTTAATATACATCACTGAGCCTTTTATAATTTAGCTTTTTTATTTTCCTGTTTTTAGCAGAAGACCCTGATCTCGTTTCACTTGAAACGTCGTCAAATAGAATAATCGATTAATCGGTGGAAGATTCGATAGAATACTCGAATACTACAGTATTCTATAGCAGCAGCCCTACATTCCACCATTTCATTCATCCTGTGTTATCCTGTACAACCATCATTTCATTCATACTTTGTCATATATAATCATTAGTTTAGGAAAATTGAATTCAATTCAGTTTTATAACCGAATAGTCAAAGAACCTAGAATAATGGTAAATCAAATATTCAAAGACCAATCAGATTGATGATTCATATTTATATGAATTGGCTTAATGAACTGACCTGTATTGGAATGTTTACTGTGAGAAGTGCCTTGAGACGACTCTTGTCGTGATTTGGCGCTTTAAAAATAAACAAACTGAATTGAATTAATTGAATTTAAACTTTAACTTCTCAAATATCACTGTGTGTCTCCTATATGATAAAAGTTTTATCATAACAACCAACAATTTATAAAAGAAAATCATGAAGTTTAACAAGGTTGCCCAAACTTTTGCATCCTTAAGTAAGCACGTACAATTTATTTATTGGATACTACGCAGTTTCACAGGGCTGCCCTGAAAGACTATGTAATTCGTGTCCTGGCTCCATGTAGTACATTTAAGAATAAAAAGACTCATGAAATGTCTGATTGGTGTTTCACTCTGACCACATGGACTCACTTACCGCCATATAAGGCCTGCAGCCCGCATCTCTAGTCTTGGCTATGGAATCCACAAGCTGACCACTGATGCCAAAGTCACACAGTTTGATATTACCCTTTCGGTCCATAAGAATGTTGGAAGGTTTGATGTCTTTGAAGACAAAAGGGGACAATTTTATTCAGCAACAAAGTGAGCCACATTTACTGCTGACAAAAAAAAAATACAATTATCTTACCTCTGTGAATAATTTTCAAATTTTCTTTCAAGTGATTCAGTGCTTTAACTGTCTGTGAACACAATCAAACAACCTGGTTATTGTTTTTATGCTAATCACACCATCACATGTAAAAAAAATGACACACGACAAGTGCTTACAGCTAATGTTATTTTCCCTAGTATTTCCTCTGGAATGACGTCATCTAATGTGCAATATACATATTTGTAGAATTTGTCTAATGAGGTAGACATAAGCTCCATACATATCCAACAGTCGCCCTGAAAGTCAAAGTTCAAAGATCAGTTTTCCTATTAAATAAAAATCTCTACAAAATCTAGTGCATGATCCAAACGGTGTGGGTTCACCAGACCTCTCTGAATAGGGCACCATAGAACTGGACAATGTAGAGACAGTCGCTACTCCTCATCACCACATCGAGATCCATCAGCAGCTGCTTCTGCTCCTTCTCATCCACTGTGGAGCGAATCCTCTGTGGAGCACGCACACATTTCAGGCCAACCTTCTCACAAGCTTCTAAACTCAGCCCATGCGTGATCACAGTAAGCTAAACAGTAAGTCGATATAATGGGTATGATTGGTCCTATAATGTGTCTGTTGCAAGTTTCAAGGAGACAAGGAGCAAACATAAAGAGTTTGCAACATACTGGAGGATTTGCTGTCCACTGCAATCACTAGAAGAAAGGGGGGGGGGAGGATGTTTGTAAGGAGACAAGCGGCTCCAGACCATAAAGTGTCAAACTGGCGGGTGAGTGGCTGAGCCAGGTGGAGGTGCGGCAGAGACTCAGCTGAAGACCAGTTCAGTGCATTGCAGCCACGTAGAGACGTACAGGCGTCACCGTGCACCTCTTAGCCAGACGGAGTTAATGCGACATGATTGTTCAGACTGCAGTCACTTTCAAAAACATCAGATATGTACTGGAATCAGTACCAACATATGAACGTAACCTGGATCGGATTTGAAAAAAATCGAATCTGCGCTGTTCAGACTGTTATAAAAAAAATAACTAATATGGGTCGCATGTGGGGGGAAAAATTGGATTTGATGCACTTTGCCTGCAGTGTGAACGTGGCCTTAGACACTTATCTATACTCACTTCACTTTTTATAGATCTGTCAAAAGCCTTTGACACTGTAGACCACACATAAGCTACTTTGTTTGGGATTGTCTGATCATGCAATCTCATGGCTGCGTTAGATGTGATTGGTTGACCTCCGAAAGTTTGAGTATCCACACGGGAGTACCACAGGGTTCCGTTTTGGGACCCCTTTTGTTCATTATGTATATTAATGACATAAGACAAAATGAATCGGGTGCTAATTTACACTTTTACGTTGATGACAGCCATTTACTGTTTTGGAACATCCCCCATTAAAGCTGTTGAATTCTTACAGAAAGCTTTTAATGAGGTCCAACCAACACTTGTGCTGTTAAAATTGGTCCTCAGTGCCGACAAGACTAATGTTGTTTTCAAACTCTAAGTATGCCCTCTGTGACCACTCGAGGGAAACATCATGGAGGTGGTCCACACAAACAAATACCTTGCTGTCGATGACTCCCTCTCCTTGAAGCCCCATGTAGATAATCTTGTGAAGAAACTCAAACTCCGACTGGGTTTCCTTTTTCAAAACAAACTGTGTTTTTCTTTTGAGGCAGAAGAACGACTAGTGACTGCAACATTTCTGTCTATTGTGGATTATGGAGACCTCTTGTATATGAATGCCTCAGCACAGTGTCTTGGTAAGATGGATGTGGTTTATCATGCCTCGCTGAGGTTTCTTACTAACTGTAGACCACTGACCCACCACTGTGAATTGTATTCTCCAGTGGGATGGTCTTCTTTATCCACCAGGAGGTTGGGACATTGGTACACTTTCATTTATAAGGCCATGCTTGGATTACTACCCACCTAGATCTGTAACTTAGTCTCATGGAGAAGTGTAACTTCTCACAGCAAACCTCTATTGGTCCTTTGTGTCCCATTTGCTCGCACTGAACTGGGCAAAAGGGCTTTCGTTCACTCTGCTCCTTCTGCATGAAACAGGCAGCAGGAAAACTGGAAATTAACCAATTTTATTTCCTTCAATACATTTAAAACCTGACTGAGATGCCTCGAGATGGATTCCCTGTGTAACTGCCTTCTGTAATTTTGTCTCTGTAACAGAAACATTTTGTAACTAACTTTTGCTGCCTCTTGGCCAGGATTCCCTTGAAAATGCGGATTTTAATCTCAATGGGACCTTCCTGGTTAAATAAAAAATAAATATACAGGTTATCAACACAAAACAGTTCATTTAAGTGTTAATCGCTCTTTAACGGCAGGAAATACTGGTATCTGATCAATTGTATTCAAAAGTGGAACAAATATATGCATTCAGTGTTCTTTTGTCATTTAAGGGACAAACTAGACTTTTATTTTTATGCAAGTTCGTTTTTTTAACGACGCAACCGAGCACGGTTCTGTTCCAAATGCCATCCTCGTCCTCTCATACTCGGTAGAACGAGCTTTCTGCTGTGCTTGCCAAGAACATACTTGTCAAGTGCACAAGAACGTACTAGCGTCCTTGAGTATTGAGAAACTGCCACAGTCTGTTGGACAACAATGCTTTTTAATTTTAGCAGACAGAAAATTTGTTTTGTAGTTTTACAAGAAATTTAGATGGAATACCACTCTTTAACAAATTATTAAAAGGTCACACATGACTAGCGCTGCCACAAACAACTATTTTAATAGTCGACTAATAGCCAGTTTTGTTGACAGTCAGTTTATGGCGACTTTTGTTCTCCACCATGACATGCTTCGTTTTTAGGTGCTTGTGCATCACCGATGTGCTCTCGTGACAGGAGAGTTTCACTTTGCAGATTTAGCATTCTACATGCTTTTCTGTTGTCTTTGTAAAATGTTCCCAAACGTTTGAGCTACATTGCCGACCCGCCATGACGTCTTCTTTCTCCGGTGATTCTGATTCGGAGGCTGACCCAGATGGCCACTACTGTGCATGTGTCTCATGCAGAAAGGCAAAAAGCAGCTGCTGAAGGTGCCGCAGCAGGAGAGATTATAATACTGGTCATAGAATTAACGACGCCGGCTATTAAATTTATAGTCAACTATTTTATTTGTCGACGTCTTCGTGACAAATCGACTAATTGTGGCAGCACTATACATGACCCTCTTATAAATCAGCTGGTGGAATTTTAGTTACCTTGACGGCCATAATCTGACCCGTGGGTTTGTGGACCATTTTGCTGACGGAGCCGTAGGCCCCGCGACCAATCTCACCAAGGTCTCTCAGATCCTCTGCAGTGAAGTCGCAGTGCTGCTCCGGGGAGATCTTTAGCTTCCCCGATGACTCGATGCTGTGTGTTCGCAGGCGCTCTCTACAGAACCCAGAGCAGGTGGGACCAGAGAGGTGGGGATCACATGTAGAAGAAAGCAGGATTATGTATGAGGGTCATTCACAGACGTACTCATGACATTAAAGCCAAAAATATATTTATTTATTCCAATAACAGAAGCTGTGGCTGCAATAATACTGTGAGAACATTTCTACACCCTTCCCTTTTTAGTTTTTCTTCTTCCGGCTCTTGGAGAGGACAGACGCTTTTTTCCTCCTCTCCTCCCTATCTTATCCCAAGGCTCTTTGTCTGTCTTTGGGTGTACGGCGCTTCTGCATTTTTTCTGGAAACTGGAAATTATTAAAAATGGACCTGGTCAGCTGGTCTCTCAACGCGATCGACAAAATTTTTTCAACAATGAGAACGGGAGAAGGGGCTCCCGGTTGCCCCTCTGGGACAGAACCAGCTGGGCATATCATGGACTCCTGGAAACAGTGGAACCTGATCTGCCTCTCTCAACTGTCTGTAGAGGATTCTGAAGACGGCTGGATATTCGTGGTGTTGGCGTCAGGTTTCTTGCTTTTTGGTGTGTGTGGTTACCTGGCTTACTGGAAAATTAATGAGCTGTCGAGGAATATTGGCTCAATCCCGGAGCTCAGGGATGGATTACACCGCGCTGTGAACGCACAAACTCATATAATTGTCGAGATGAGTCGTAAGCTTGGAACTTTGGCTGAGATTCAGGCTCTGGCAAAGAAGGTTGATTCGATCAAGGAAAAAGTTGACGGGTCAGCACGGATTGGGATGGATTAATAACGCCATTATTGGATTTAGAGGGGTTGAGGACCAACGGAACTTTAAGACAGAGAGGAAATTATCTCTGTCTGGCCCCAAAACAAGTTATTCTCTGAATCTGGTGTCCTTGAGCCTGTGAGGCGAAGTGAATATTCCCCCTCAGAAGAAATGTGGAATGCTGCCGTCACCATGGCAACTCTGTCTCCCTATCCCAGCCTGGGCGGGACTGCGACCGGTGAAGGCCGCTGAATCGTTTCCAGGAGTCACTGTGCTTTCTAAACCCAACTCCCTCCCTCCCCTGTCCAAACGGAGGTGACAAGCGCTGCTTATCGCGGCTGCATGCACTGATGTGTGGAGAATCCCAAACCCACCACCCCACCTAGTGGACACTTATGTTGTGTAATGTCTGAAGTTTGTGTGCATATCTGTCTGAGGTGTTTTTTGCATAGCAAAGCTGCCCTCTCTGTGGAGGGTAACTCTGAAGTGCCTTTGTTTCCTCCACCTGACCCAATCCTCATGTAAACCCTCTGATCTCTATTAAGGTAGCGCGACTCGGGTTGTGAATGACCACAGTCACCAATTCTTGTCATGTGTCTATGCCTATGTATGTATGTCTGATCTCAGAATTGTGTGTGCTGAAACTCTAATGTCCCTCTGGGATTAATAAAGTATCTTCGAATTGAATTTGTCACCTAAATGTTTCAGATCAAACGGCAATTTTCCATATTAAACCATGTTAGTCTGAGAATTAACTGTAATTTATCATATTATTTAGAAGGCTGAGTTCAGTTCTTCTAACATTTCTTATCCAGACATGTAGAATTAATAAATCAGTCCAATAGAATCTGTCTGACAACATGAAGGAGGCCAACAGCAACATCTCATGTCTTACTCTAAAGAAATTCAAGAACAAACAAACCCAGAACAATATGTGTGTGTGTGTGTGTGTGTGTGTACTTGTTTAACTATCCTACTTAAGACCAAAACAGTTATATTAACTAATCTTCTGAAGACTTATGGGCCTCATTAGGACCGAAACCCAGTTCTAATATGGTGACCCCCCTGTTTTAGGCTTAGGGGTGAGGTTTAGAGGTACACTGGTTATGGTTAGGGTTTAGGTTAAGCATAAATCCAGTTACTAAATCGAATGGAAGTCAATACAAAGTCCTAATATGTATAAAAATACGAACTTGTGTGTGTGTGTGTGTGTGTGTGTGTGTGTGTGTGTGTGTGTGTGTGTGTGTGTGTGTGTGTGTGTTTCTATTCTGCTTTGGCCCCCAAAGTTCCTTGAAACGGCCCTGGGTGTGGGACTGAGTTTGGAAGGTGATCTGAACTGCATCAAATATATAAATATTACATGCTTATAAATTATCACTTTATACAGATAAAAATATGCAGTGGGATTAATCTACCTATTATTTTTTCAAGCACTTTGATTTGGTTTCTGTATTTTTTTCCCTGTCCTGTTTGTTTCTGATCTTCTTGCATCTCCTCTCAACCATCCAGAAAAAGTGCTGCCAGGCTTCCTTCATTTTCACCTCCAGTTACTTTTATAGTGTGACTCATCTCGACGCATAGCTCTGTCTCCAGACCCAGTTTCCTTGAGAGGGGCTGGACACTACCACTGTTGAGCTGCTACAACTGACAGGTGCCGAGCAGGGGTGGGCATACTAGTTGCTCTTGGCACCAGGATACCTTAGGCCGCAGCTCAATGATCAACTTTGTTGACTACTGACCATCATCTGATCTGCAGCTGCATGTCTTGGACACTCGGGTGAAGCGAGGGGCAGAGCTGTCAACTGATCACTACCTGGTGGTGAGTTGGCTTCGATGGTGGGGGAGGATGTTGGTCAGACCTGGCAGGCTCAAAAGTATTGTGAGGGTCTGCTGGGAATGTATGGTATAGTATCCTGTCAGGAGAAGTTTCAATTCCCACCTCCGACAGAACTTCCAAAATGTTCCGGGGGGAGGAAGGGGACATTGAGTCTGCGTGGGCCATGATCCGTGCTTCCATTGTCAAGGCGGCCGACCGGAGCAGCGGCTGCAGGGTCATCTGTGCCCGTCATGGCGGAAATCCCTGAACCCGCTGGTGGACATTGGCGGTTAGGGATGCCACCTGGCTGAAAAAAGAGTCCTATTGAGTCTTTTTGGCCAGTGGAACTCCAGAGGCAGCTGATGAGTACCGGCAGCCCAAGCGAAATGTGGACCGGGTGGTCACAGAGGCAAAAACCTGGGCGTGGGAGGAATTCGGTAAGACCATGGAGCAAGACTTCCATACAACTTCAAAGAGATTCTGGTCTACCATCAGGCGCCTCAGGAGGGGAAAGCAGTGCACTACCAACACTGTTCATAATGGGGACGGTGTGCTGCTGCCCTGACTCAGGACGTTGTGGATCGGTGGGCGGAGTACTTTGAAGACCTCCTCAATCCCACCGGCACGTGTTCCAGTGAGGAAGCAGAGTCCAGGGACTTTGGGTTGGATTTCTAGACACATCCAAGGTGTTGAGGGGATCCATTTGATGGCCTAAGGATTGAGTCTCTGCTTTTTGCAGATGATGCGGTCCAGTTGGCTTCATCAGAACATGATCTCCAGCTCTCACTGGAGCGGTTTGCTGCTGAGTGTTAAGCAGCTGGGATGAGAATCAGCTCCTCTAAATCTGAGACCATGGTCTTGAGTTGGAAAGGGCTAGAATGTCTTCTCCAGGTCAGGGATGAGGTCCTGCCTCAAGTGGAGAAATTTAAGTATCGCTGGGTCTTGTTCACAAGTGAGGGAAAGCTGGAGCGCAAGATCGACAGGCGGATTAGTGCTGCAGTGATGTGGGCGCTGTACTGATCTGTCCTGGTGAAGAGAGGCCTGAGCCAGAAGGCAAAGCTTTCAATTTACCGGTCGATCTACAATCCAACCCTCACCTATGGTCACGAGCTTTGGGTAGTGACCGAAAGAATGAGACTGCGGATACAAGCGGCTGAAATGAGTTTTCTCCGCAGGGTGGCTGGGCTCTCCCTTAGAGAAAGGCTGAGAAGTTTAGTCATCCGAGCCTCTCTCGGATGACCGTTTAAAAATAATTAGAAGAACTGCCTGAGACATTAAACAGTATGTATGGCTATCTCTTGCATTTACTTACATGTGAGGATTCTGGAAGGAAGGAACTATGGGGTTGAGCATGAGCCTCGAAGTGGATTTCACCGAAGGGTTGGCAAAGTTCAGCTTCAGAGCCTTGCGTTTGACTATCAGGAAGACAAAGACACAGATCTGAGTTGTCTCAATGTTTTTGCCACACTGTGGTACAAACAGGCTGTCTGATCGGATCCTTGCCACACCTATCAGACTCACTTGAGATAAGCCTTCATATTAATGAAAACAAATTAAAAAATCCCCCCCAAATTACTATTAGGTAGGTGTATGGTTCATTTATTCCCATTACTTAACTATGAAACTAATCAAATATAAATGCAAAAATGCTTTGGAATATCTCAAGCAGTTTTAGACCAGTGGAAGGCAAGGAAGAACAAAATGCTTTTTTGAACACCAGCATGGAATTGAGAGGATCCAAGCGCTCAAAAACAGACATGCATTTCACCTGATGTTTATTAGGAAAGGCTGGTGGGAAAGGGAAGGGTGAGAAGACTGGAAATGCCTCCTGAAAGCACTCCTGCACAGACCCTGAGCAGTCAAACCTCACTCTCAAGTGTGTTTCTGTGTAAAAGTTTAAATTCATTTGACTTATATACACTTTTTGTATGTTTAATTAGCAACAATAAAGGTCATAATATGACATAACACCAATGTAAAATATTATTGTAATGCAATAATAATAATAATAAAAGGTAATAGTGATTAATTATAACTTTTACATAGAAACAAATATCAAACTGTCTGAGAGATCAAAGTGTGCCCATCCCTCAGACAGCACTTGAGTCACAATCCTTACAGAGTAAATCGCACTTTAGTTAAAAAGCTAAAACATAACATTCTAGGCGAAGTCAGACACCTATGGTACATCTCTAGAATATCTTTTCTTTGAGGTCCTGACAGGAAGTACTGGGTTCTTTTTGCCAGTCTCCATTCTTCTAACTCAAATCCCAATCATGAAGCCCCAGTCCAGAAGAACTTTTGATGGGCGTTACTGCATTTAGGGACAGTCGACAGTAGTGGACAGTCTCCTTGACTACCAGAACACCACACAAGCTCTCTCAGTAGTGCACAGTGGTCACTTGCTGTACCCATGAGCTCAGGTCAGGTCGAACAGTCATGATCCATGACCCGCTAAAGGACCAAAACCACTTTGGACTACTGATGTATATACCCACAAAGAGTAGAGGTCAGTGTGCTTTAGTGTGCGAGTCTAATGCTTACTTTGGGGCACTCCAGACAGGCTTATCTGAAACCCTGAAGTAAAGAAAAGACATGTTTACTACTTTTTCTCAGGGCCTGTTTGAGTCGGGCTCATTAAGAGTGAGGTCCCAGAAAGTCAGAGCTGAAAGTGGAATGCACGACAGGTTACTGTGCTCCAGTTAGGGAAGGAATCACCGTACAGTGTGTCTGACACGCTACCCTGCATTTGGTTTTTCTTAAGTTTGCTTAACTCAGGACCACAACTTCAAATGTGGTAAAAGAATCAAAGAGTCAGTGAAACCTACAAGCACTCCATTCTGAAACATGAGTGGTGCTGTATGTTGGTGTTGTTCCACTGGCAGATTTAAGTCACCATTTTATCTTGACTAGGCACAGGTGACAGTTACTTGACACTGGATGCCTATAGCATATTACCTTCATGTTTATATGTTCATAGCATACGGTATCTTATTTGTTCAACAGTGAAGCCAGAAAACCCCATTTAAAGATGACACCATGGTGTTTAATTGAAATAGTCTAATGCACTAAATAAATAAGAAGATAAACTTTTTATTTAATTCTGAGTGAGACTGGGAACCAATGAAGATCTTTCAGAATTGGGCTGATACACTAACACATGCGAACCCTCATTAGGACCCTAGCAGTGCTGTGTCTGGACATGTTGCAGTCTCAGAATGCTTTTCCAGAGATGCTGATGAGGACTGCATTACAGAAGTCTAGTCTGGAAGAGGCAAAGACCTGGACAAGCTTCTCCGTGTCTGCCAGGCTTAGTATTGGGCGGTTTATGGAAAACTTCCTAAGATGATAAAATGTTTTACACAAGTGTTTGATAGGGGTGTCAAATGTGAGTTGCAAATCCATTTTAGCACCCAAATTGATGACAGTTGTGGATAGGGATATAATTTGGCGAGAGAAAATGAAAAAGTGGAGCTAATGTGGTGTGCCAATTTGATTGGCTTCTGTTCAACTGAAGAAAGTTGACTTTGATCCATGCCTCTATGTCCTCCAGACAAGTCTTTATTGTAGATGTTAGTTAGCACAGGGGCAGAGAAGGTGGATGGTGTCTTGAGATAGAGCTGAGTATCATCAGCATAACAGTGGAAAGATATCCTGGCCTGGCCAGCCAGAGGTGAGAAGGTATGCCAGTGGAACGTGACCCAGATTCTGGATTATTCTGTTTTGACAAATCTCAACCAGCTTTCTGAAAAATAAAAAGCCTAAAGACAGTCGGGAAAAACTTCCTGTCTTAAAGAGAGCCTAAAGTCATGCCCATCTACTTCTGGACCATGGGTCCCCAGAAGCACGAAACAATGAATGCAAGTCAATGGGGCTAAAAATACTATTTTCTAATTCTGCTGTTTGTGTGCCATGGACTTCACATATGATGCCTGTGAATTTTAAAGGGGGATTTTGATGACAAGAACACGCTTATTTTGGAATGGGGGGGAACGTTATTTTAGGTGTTGTGTGAAAATACGTCCAGGACTACAAATGCACATCACCAAACTGATCGAACCAGACACGGAGAACAACAGATGGAAAATGCCTGTAAGTTCAGCGAACTTCAAATCCTTCCTTCAGGAGTAGAGCTGAACGATTTTAGGAAAAGATTGAATCGCAATTTTTCTAGCAGAAATTGCAATTTCGGTTCAATTTACGATTTTCAGCAAACAAAGGTCCAACACTAGCCTGCCAAGCCATCCTGTAGATTAAGTGAAAAGATGGTCTAGATTCTTGTCTAGTACAACAAATCATTCACATTAATATTTACTATTTAATCATACAATAAAAACAGTTAAAGCTATTAATGTTTTCTCCCATTATTATCTTTTTAAATAAATTTTATGTGTTTGTGAAGCAACTTGTGATTTTTATCTAGAGAGGAGCTTTATAAAAACATGTTGTGCTCCAAAAATGCATGGAGGAAATCTGTAGGTAGAAATAGCTTTTACATGTATTAAATAAAAAAAAACTACAGTTTTCCCTGCATTACCGCGGCAGGCTGACTGCACGTTTTTCGAAACCATCTGATAGTTTTTGCTCACTAAAACGTCAGCTCCGTGAGGGAGACGCACGCATTCTGACACCTTAGCTTGTTTGAACTAACGTGTGCCATCAGAAACAAACTAGTGATGTGATGTTCACGAACGAATCGAATCTTTTGAACGGGTTTTCAAAGTGAATGATCAAACCATTTTTAAAAGAGAAGCTGAGCTTTCAAGTCAACTAAAGTGTTGCACTCCGCACTCGCGCTGATGATGCATAAACCAAGCTTTAGAATTCAGCCTGAACCTGCTGATGTGGGAGGAGTCTCTCTCTCCCTTACTCAACTACGTTCTCTCTCTCTCTCTGTCCCGGGTTCACCTACGGCACCATTATTATTGTCTCTAGCAGCGCTGTGTGTGGGAACATAAAACAGGGAAAATAACCTGAACGTGCAGCTCTGACAGCTGTGGAGTTGGGCTCGGCTCTGGACGGTACACCCCACTCCCCTCTCCCGTGCTTTTGCCGCCGTCATACACAGGGGGAAAACCCCGGATGTAAAAAAAATAAAATAAAATCACACAACTGATCCTGGATCAGTCAAAATCGCTAAAACCGCAGCGTTGATGGTCACGTGATCGTGCTGTTTGAAATAGCTATTTCCGTCAAAAAACGATAGATCGTTCCGCCCTATTCAGGAGGAAAGAACCATCGTAAAGTTTGCAAGTAGCAACTACGCTAGGGGAGAGGAGATTATGTGGTGTGGTGATGCACCAACGTCTGATTTGTAGTCATGCTAATTACAAACTTTTACAAGCAAGGTGTGTTTGAAATACACATTACTTTTCATTTAAATAGAAGTATAACATATGTGCGATCCAGGGCATAAAGCAAAACAGATTCAAAAATCGCTCTTTTGGCCTTATTGACTTGCATTCACCTTTTCGTTCTTCCAAACCCATGAGCCGACCGGAGAGGGAGGAGACTTAGGCTCCCTATAAGGTCTTACTGAATGGAGTCTGCCTACTGAGTCAACTTCAGGTTGCTCTAATGTAGAACTGAAAGAAGAAAATTTATCAGCATGCAGATAGGGGAGTTTGATGACAATAATATACAATAAACTATAAAGTTTTAGAAACAATGAAAAAAGATCTATGAAGTGAGCAAATAAGTGAAGGGATTTCTTAACGGAGATGAGGCGGACTAAAACAACAAAAGAAAGATGTCGGAGAGAAGACTAAGACCTTGTGAAGTGAGAGGGAATACCTGTTTCATTCTGACATCTCCAGCAGGTGTTGGTCTCTGAAAGGTTTAGATAAAACATTTGGTATCTGTCACAGGATAAGAAAATGCAGCTCTTTGAGCCTGACATAAATGACATTTAATCTTCCAGGAGTGAAAAAGGTGAATGTTTGCAGGTCAATAATCAGACAGGCCATCTGCCCCTACTCCAGCTAAACTTGATCCTTGCCCGCTAATGGACAGTTAAAAGGCTGGGACGAATAGTCAAACATTAAATGTAGCACACATTCTCATTAAAGCCAGCTCACACACATAAGTCTCATAACAGAGGTGTGATTTATGCAAGGCTATGGAACCACTGACCATCATTAGCAGCACGGTAAAATTTGGTAATCAAAGTTTAAAAACTTTTACTGGTTATCAAACTAAATGCGTGACTTTGACACAGATACAAGAGGCGTGTAAGAGAACGGGGACCCCGGTGGGAAAGTTATTTAATCTCTGAGTTGGTAGGCCTTTGTATGTTTCTTGCTAGCAGCAATGTGCTAACAGCAATGGTGGAGCAGACATCAGACAGTAGCTTAGCGTGTATGTTACAATTTGCAGTGTGGACTTAAGTGACCGACGCGGAAACGATAAACATTTAACATGGTCTCGACAGACTAGTCGGCTGAGTTATCTCGTGAGACGACTAAACCCCAGCTTTAAAGTCTGGGGTTACCATTTGATGTCAAATAAAGAAACCTTAAGCGTCAGCGGAAGGTGTACAACTGGGCCTTCAAAATAAAAGTCCAATTGGACAGCTAAATTATGATGACTTGAATCGTAAAATTACTTCCTCGCCTTATCATATTGTAGAATGACACACCAGTCCTGCACACCAGCTGACCGTAACATAAGTGTATAACATACATTTCAACAACAGTCACCATATGTCATCTTATCTGGGCAAACGTTAGATCAGCTCCACAGATCTACACTACCTTGAACTGCTCAAAAGCTACAATCGTGATTTATTTTGAACGCACTAACCGGAAAATGTTGTTACAATTCCCTTGACCGTCTCTTTTCCTTCTGGGAAACTAAAAGCTAGCTTTTCCGCCTGTCTCCTAAATGCGCGTCTGAAACGGGAACTGTGTGATATGGAAGGTGTAGTCGCCTACCTTGCATGCTGCTGCTTTGTGTCTGTTGGTGAAGCTGATGCGACACGGCCCCCACGATGTGTCCGGAGCTCGTAGAGTTGCTACTCGAGCTGTGAGTCGCCATTGTTTTGTTCAAGCAGCAGCACTCGGGCAGGCTGGCCGCTATGCAGGGTGGAACTTCCCTCCCCTGCCTCCAGACGGGACACTGCGTCACTTGAACGCAACAGCTGCACCGCGCCCACGTCTGAACCGCTGCCTTCACGGGACTTTGGAAAACCGCCCACTGGCAGTTTACACACCTCAAGCATCTTTGCTCTAATTACACATTTACAATACTCTAAACCTGAACTAGGTCAGTCGGCACTAATAAAGACACTTCCTGATTATAAATAACTTTATTTCATTCAAAGGAAGCAGATTTCCGCACTTTTTAGAATTCACTTAGCTCAAAAAATTACAAAATTTAGACTTCACCATGGACTAGATTATTTGGCATTAACAGCTAAATTCATAGAAGACAGTTGGTTAATTTGTGAAACCTAGTCGATTAATGAAAGTCAACAGAAGGCTCTCCTCCGTTATTTATTGTGAGTTTGGATTATCATAACATATTTTTTCAGTACTATAGGTTGAGGTTTATAAACAGTGTGCTATGTTTATGAAAAAAAACTTTTATAATTTGAGCAGATTAAAGATGCGTGGAGTGTAAAAATAGTTGAAAGTGGCCTTTCCAAATTGAAAGATAAAAAGGGAACCAATTCCAACTTTTATCAAATCAAGAAACAACTAATTAAATAAATAAAAGAAGAGAAAGAAAGAATGACAGAAAGGATAAACAAAAGATTTAGACAAATGAATAAGAAAAATATAAAACTTTTAAAATGGCATTCGAATGACTTCAGATTGTTAAAATTATGTCAGAATAATGCACACAGGTGATAAATAGTAAGGTGTATAAATATAAAAATTCCTATCTCACCCTCCGTGGGTGGTCTCATCCTTCCAAGCTCGGGTTTTCTACCAGAGGCCTGGGAGCTTGAGGGTTCTGCGCAGTATCTTAGCAGCATCTTACACCTGCAGTTATGTGGTGGATCGTCTCAGGGGGCTCTTTGCATAGCCTACACCTTGGGTCTGGTGTGGTGTGACAGATCTTGGCATCTGTTGCTCTGGTGTTCAGGGCCTGTTCCTGTGCAGCCATGATGAGTGCCTCTGTGCTGTCCTTCAGACCAGCTCTTTCTAGCCATTGATAGGATTTCTTGATATCAGCCACTTCAGTTATCTGTCTGTGGTACATCGCTTAGGGGTTTGCCATACAGCTTTTTTTTTTACTGCAGCTAAAAAACTACAGCGTTACACTCGGCATTTCTGTCTTTTTTCTGATTGGTTATTTTTGAGATAATTAAATTTAATAGCAAAAGTTATTTTGAATCAGAAGCTAGGAATCTTTGCTTTTCAATAACCAGAAATATTATACCTTTTCTGTGTTTCGTTTCAATAATGAAGCAAGTTTAAAAATGAAGAAATTCTATTACTAACAATTTTAAACTTAAAGATTTGAAACAACAATTCATGGATGACAATTTAATGATAATTTTAACAGCTTTGATATTAAACTTGTTTTAAAAGAACAAACCTGCGGATGGATGAAAGCTAAATTGGAAATACAATTTTGGATGCGTGAATGAAATTATCAGGAGGTCCAGGAGGGGGAGGACCCAACCTTACCTGGATGTCCTATGTCTTATATATTCTGGAAGTTGTGCAAATGCAGGGATGGGCATAAATATTCTGCTGGGGTGGGGCTGGGTTGGTGCCCTCGGACTCTGTGAGGCTCTGCAATGCTGCTGCTTTGGGCCCTGGCAGGATGAGCTGGGGTCTCCATGCCCTTGGTGGCAATTTGACAACAGAGGTGCCTATTGGGGCCAGTGGGGGAGCTGGCCCCCTGGAGGGCTTAGCCCAACCAGCCATTCCTCCCCATCCCCAGACATTTCTCTCCTCCTGCTCCCTCACATCATCACACAAGCATGCACATAGGACCTTGGGGGGTGGGCAAGTCAGGGAGTGCGGGTATGGACCCCATTTCCGCATTCCAGTGGCAACCTGCCCCCCAATTTTTTTTTGCACCTTATACACTTCCACCGAAGACATTCCATGCAAACACACACTTAGGGCCTTGGGAGTGAGCACATTCAACGGCACTTGGCAGGGGGATATCTCAGCCTCCTCCCAGGTGCCGGTGCCCACTTCCAATTTTAAACTGCACTTAGACACCGAGGGTTGTGGGTGCAAGTGGGGTGGTGCGGTGGCATCAGCTGGCATAGGCCGGACAATGCCCGCACTGCCCACTCACCATAGCCATGGAATACACCTCATCAACACACAACACTATATTGGAGCAGGTGGAGGGAGACTAGGGGTCTTAGCACACCGCTGTTGTTGCTTGGCTTCCTGGGGCTGGAGGCTAGGAGGGAGATCTGGCTGTCTGGTTGGCATTCAACAACAATAACAATAAAGTTTTAAGTATCAGGCGTGACATTAAAAGCAGACGCTTTGATGCTCCACCTGAGCGTAAATCTGTAAGGCTTGTTACCAGCATTCAGACATCAATTCTGTTTGCTTCACAGCCAGACAGGACACGGTAAAAAAGAAAAAAAAAAGAAAATGATTTTTCGTTAGCTGGTTACAGTTTCGTTTATTCTTAGCTATTCTTGTCAGGGTGACAGAACAGAAGGTGGAGGTTTAGGGACGGCCGTTCGCTTCCTCCGTGATGTTGGTTCAAGAACTGAACGTGAAGCTGTGATGGTTAGTTTACAAAAGCTCTCAGGACACTCCCACTCTCTCAGTAAGAAAGCTTGGTCATGCGTCAAAAACATGTGATGCAGTTATCGTTTATCTGGACTCTGTGTTAGATGGATAAGGTGGAACTGACCTTCTTGGCTGAACACATCTTTTACTGTCATCAACCATAATCATAATTAATCATTATTATACCCAAAGCATAATAATCCATTTCATGTAATTAAAATACCTTTATACCGAACCAAGTGATCATTTATGATGATTTTCATAAACAGTAATAAAATCAAATAAATTTTATTAATATTATCATTTAATTATTATCATCCTGAACTTGAAGTGTCCTTCTCCTGGGATGGAACAGCAGCCGATAGGTGATATGATATTGAGCAGACATCATGGCTCCTTGGTAATCTGTGGGTTTAAAAGTACTGTTTGACCCAGCTGGGTAAATGTGACCTTTGCCACAAATTAGAGGACCTTCATGATGCTACAAAACTAAATGAAATGCAAGGTTTTGAATGAGTGAATGAATCAGGTTTCTTTCAGCGAGAGAAGTGTTCTGGGTGGAAAGTTGGTTTTGCAGCTAACTGATGTTACTTAGATAAACAGCATACAGACGCCATCTGTCCAAAGTGTCTACCTCACCCAGATCAGGAGACCCTCTTCTGGATCCGAGATGTCAGGTGGAGATGATGTCCTCCGGGCACGAGGTTGGTAGAGGGACCTTAGTGCGACCAAATCGGTCCTGAGATGTCTCCTTGGGTCACTCGACTGGTGAAACTATTTGTGTCTCAAAATCAATAACTCCGAAGGAGTTTTGCGTCAGCTGGAAACAGGTGCGTTTATCCGAAGCAAGACTATCGGCGTGACAGAATGCTTAGTAGAGACTTGGGCGGCCGTCCCTTGTCTCCTGGTATGGTTCAAGAACTGAACTTACAGCTGCGGGATTCAGAACACGCCCTCTCAGCGTCAGAAAGTTTGGTCATGAAATAAAGACATGTGAGATGATTTCAACTTTACCCTGGATACCCTCTGCATGTGGTGGTTAACGTGCAAGATGACCTTCTGGTTTACTGAACACACATTACGGATTATCATAAATAATTATATTATATTACCCAAAGCATAATAAGTCATTTCAGTAATTAAAATACATTTGAAATGAACCAAGATGATAGAATCAGAATCAGAAATCAGAATCAGAAAATGTTTTATTGCCAGCGCTCCAGCGAACCAGAGCATAGGAACTTGACTCCGCAGCACAGCCTGACCAAGGTTACACACACACACATGTAGACAGAACAGATACAGGCAGACCACGAGAGCAGCCATAACGGCGCTATTATGATGATTGTAATAAACAGTAATAAAATCAAGAGTTTATTAAAATTATTATTTAAAATTATTATTGTAAAATCCTGAAGGGTCCATCTTGGGACGGAACAGCAGCAGATAAAGATGGTGTTTCAGCAGACATCATGGCTCCAGGCGGGTTAATCTGTGGGGTAAAGTTACAGTTCGACCCAGCTTGACCCAGCTGGGAAAGTGTGACCTTTGTCACAAATTAGAGGCCATTCATGACGCTACATTACAGTACCTGTAATCAGAAGACTTTAGTTTCTTTGACTTATTCAGGGAACTCACACTTCACATGAATTCAGAAAGAGTCAAGAATATAGTTATAAAAATTATTGTAATTCTATTTTCCTGAACTGAATGATTTTACATGACAAAGCATGAATGAAATGATGGTTGAACATATAACAGATGATGAATGATGTGATGGAATAGAAGCTAGATGTTTTAGCAGAACCTTGTGAGTGTCTGAGATTGATCTTGTGAAGTCTGGGATGTAAAATCAATTTGGCTGTGTGGTTTGACAAGCTAAACTTTGTTTAGTATGAAGCCATCCAATGCCAGCGTGCAGAGTCTTGCACTTGTCTCTTGTTTGCCTGTCACTCCCGGAGGTCCGGAGGACAGGCAGCCCGAGTGGTGAGTTCAATGAAAGTCAAGACTACGAGAACCCAAAGAGTCGTAGCTCCCTTTGAATTCAGCTTTCATCGGCCATGAGATGCAACCAGGGCCTGCAGGTTAGATGTCTGTCTTGAGGTGTTGAGTAGCTCTTAAAAGAGCCGTTGTGTCTGCAGGGGTGAGGTGGTGCTCACTCCTCACCCCTGCCACATGGACCTCAAGGGATAAACCATCAATCCTGCTCAATGGTCAACTTTCCTCATGGGGTCACACCCATTAGGACAGTGGGAGGGTTAAAGGGTGTACTTGCATTATTGTGATATATTAAAGCGCAAATAGCAGGTTAGAGACTCCCATGAACCAATGTTTAGAGAAAAATAACAGAAACTCATTTTAAACATTTTTACACGTACATAAATTATTTAGGCTTTCAGCGTCAAATTTGTGGGAAAGGATTTTTGTTTTTTGCCAAACGGTTAAACAAGTGACGTCAGCTGCTGGAGTCCTTTTAGCTTAATCCAGAGAAAAATATGGACTCTAATGTGGCTCTGACACAGAGGAACCTTTAAATGTTTATAAGAACCCATCGGCCAAAGCCGAGTGAAAGAGAAACAGCGGGGGGGGGGGGGGGGGGGGTCGCTTGTCAATCAATCAATCAATCAAATTTTATTTCTAAAGCGCTTTTCAAACAAAGTGTGATTCAAAGTGCTTTACAAAATGACCCCAGATTCCCATAACAGGTTAAAAACATTAACAAACATATGCAAGCACACGCACACACACGCACACACACACACACACACACACACACACACACACACACACACACACACACAAGTAAAAATTATATTAGGCTGAGTCCAGATGAGCCAAGTATGGTAACGCAAGGAAACGCCATCAGAGGAGCCGTCTGCCCCGGCAGCATCAGGTCTTCCACACTAAGTCAGGGCGCTCAGTGGAGGGGGAGCATAGACCCCCACCTATAGAGCGCCCAGGAAGCTACAGTCGACCACCGCTGTGAGTTAACCATGTTAGCTTACAGATTACTATCATGTACCAGACTGTTAAAGTAGTATCAGTCAGGTAATATAATATTAATACTAATGAGCGTCTGTCAGCGGTCTCATACTCGTTAATATCCGTTCACCTAACGCAGTTTAGCTTAGAGAGAGGGAGAGCGCCGACTGTCATCCGGTTCTGGAGCTCATGCAGGCTTCTGTGAGCTGGATCTGACCCAAACACCAGCAAGCCAGTCGAGTTGGTATTTTTAAAAACCGTGCATCCTCTCCTGGTGGTCCAGGAGGCGGTTCTGATCCGGTTCCAACCCGGAAACCAACTGAGTCGCGCGGCTCTTCTGGCAGTCGGTTCTGACCTGGTTCTGATGGTGATCTGAGCTCCAGAAATCCACATTTAATTTTTTAAACCCCGCTACGGGTCTCCAGACCCCAGCGCAGACCTCCCTGACCCGGTACCGACCGATGTGAGCTACAGAAGTCTGTCTTTGCAGCTGCACAAAAACGCCCTCAGGCACGGATATAGAGGCGTTGTTTCTCTGATCTGGAAACCCGTGGACTCGATGTCCAGACAGGCTGGAGTTGGAGCAGCCTTCACACACACTAGTTTATCAACATGAACACAACCCAACACTAGTAAACACACACACTGACTGGGTCACATGACCTCTAAACCCTAAAACTAGCCACTCTCCACACTGAGCTGAGGCTGCTTAGCTTCTAACTCCCTTTGGTTACGTCAGAGGTTCACATTTAGAAACAAGAGAAAGGAACTTTTTACTAGAAAACTCTGCTGTTATGGATTTTAAAACCAAATATTCACAATAAGATTTTCAAACATTAACATTATAAACATTACTTGGTGTGTGTGTGTGTGTGTGTGTGTGTGTGTGTGTGTGTGTGTGTGTGTGTGTGTGTGTGTGTGTGTGTCTGCTCTGTCTTCTCGATCCCCAGTGAGTCGTGGAGGATGGCTGCTTATACTGAGCCAGGATTCTCTGGAGGTTTCTTCCTGTTAAAAGGGAGTTTTCCTCTCCACTGTCGCTACATGCTTGCTTAGTATGAGGATTGCTGTAAAGACTCTGACACTAGTCAGTGACTTGATGCAATTTGCTGGGTTCCTTATATAGGAAACATTATTTCTGATTGGCTTAATGAACTGACCTGAATTGGAGAGTTTATTATGTGAAGTGCCTTGAGACGACTCTTGTCGTGATTTGGCGCTTTATAAATAAACTTGAATTAAATTCAATTGAATTGAAATAGTATTTTGGACAGCATTTTATATGAATTAGAAAAATAATTTAGCCAGATTTAACCGGCAGTTGGACATTAATTCTGTTGGCTTCACAGCCAGACCGGACACGGGAAAAATAAAGAAAGAAAGAAAGAAAGAAAGAAAGAAAGAAAGAAAGAAAGAAAAATAATTTTACCTGCAATTTGCTCTTTAACATTAAAAAAGTGGTTCATTTGGTCTCAATAATGTCGACAATAATATAGTTTATCGTCAATAATTTGTTGGACAATATATCGTCCAGAAAACTTTGTTAGAAGTTAAGGTTATACTTCTGGATCTGTCTGCTGTTAAAGGTAAGAATAGAAAGACTCAATGTTGTAAAGCCAATTTTCTAGTAAAGTGATTCATAAACCTCTGAATGTCAGAATATTGCAAAACATCCCCGCAGTATCCCATGTTAAAAACCACAGGGCTCTGATTCAACCTTTAGTCAGGTGGTTCTGGACCTGAGGTATCCATCCTGTCTTATTGTGCTGCCCTGCTGATGTACCATTAGAACATAAACACTTGATCCATTACCATCCCATAACCTTTCAGCACCATCCGGTCTGTGTAGACTGAAACTGTGGCAAAGGCATCAGTGTCAGGAGGAGTCTCAATCACACCATCCAGGGTCAGGTGGTGCACCCCTGACTCTTTGTCATAGTAGTATCCCCCGGTATGTGTGTGTCCAGCCATGTAACATACAACGCTGCTGTGGGAGCGTATGGCAGCCAGGAGCTCTTCAAAGTTCCACGCAAGGCAAACCCAGTCTGTTGCAGATGGGTGGACTGGCAGATGACCTGGACAAGGAAGCACAAAGACACCCAGATTTAAAGTATTACCTTTGTACAGGATCCATAGAAAGAAAGCATCAGAAATCTAGTCGTTCTGTTTTTCTGTAAGTCCAACATTGCCAAAATTGACTAGCCTGGCAAGCCAGACTAAATAAATGTATTATTTAGTCTGGCCACGCTCCATTGACGGCTCTCGGTTGTGGGGCGGGTTCTACCGTTGTCTTTCAAATGATCTCCGCATTCCACTGGACAATGAATGTGACATACTCTTGTTTCACTCTGTTGCATCATCCCACCCACCAGGCATATAGAGCACTATGATTGGCCCACAAAGTGGATAAAGCTCTGTGATTTGTTCACTAAGCAGATAGAGCACTATGATTGGCCCACCATTATGGACCAATCACAGCTCTTTATGTGTTTGAAACCCCTCTAGTGATTGGCTAGCCAGAGTCTTGGTAGGAGCTGCTGAGGTTCCAATGGAGCGTGCCTAGACCAAACTTTGCAAAGCAAGAATTTGGTCTAGTTCACTAGGCTAAAAATTGACAGCTTCTCCATGACCATTGACAACACCACGGTTACCCCCACCCCTCAGGTTAAGAGTCTGGGTGTCATCGTCGACAGCTCTCTCTCGTTTCAGGCTCATATCAATAACATAACTCGGTCTGCATTCTTTCACCTCCGATCCATAAATCGTCTCCACCCTTCCCTTACGTCTAACACTACAGCCATCCTAGTCAATAGCCTTGTTATCTCCCACCTTGACTACTGTAATTCACTTCTGTACGGTCTCCCTAGCAAACTCACTCATAAACTCCAACTTGTTCAGAATTCAGCAGCACGTATTATTAGTAGAACTGACACTTTCCACCACATCACCCCGGTCCTCCAGCAGCAGCTTCATTGGCTTCCCATAAAATTCAGGTCCATTTTCAAAATTCTACTCCATAAATTCAAAGCCATCCATTCCATATCCCCTCCATACATTGCCAGCCTCATTACCATTGCTACACCCTGCCGTTCTCTCAGATCTTCCTCCTCCATCCATCTGGTAATTCCCTCAGTCCACCTCAGCACCATGGGTAGTAGGGCTTTCAGCTGCTCTGCGCCCCGTCTCTGGAACTCTCTCCCTCCTGACATCAGAAACACCGATAGCTTCAACCTCTTCAAAACCAAACTCAAAACCCATTTGTTCCGAACCGCTTACTTGTCATGGTCTGTGTCTGCGTCTCCCTCATGTGTCTCCTTGTGTGCTCCATTTCTCCCTAAGAATCCCCCTTATGTGTCTCTTTGAGTTCCTAATGTGTCCCCTGGTCTTCAGCCCTCCAGATATCTCTCCTAGGTCCTGTGGCTCTAGGTTTTGTGCTCTAAGTGAGCTTTTGTACTCCTGTTGTTCAGGACTTGGTTTTTGGCTTCCTGCCCTTTTTGGATTTTTGGTTCATCTCCTAATAAAAAGGATTTTACTTTAAAACCACTCCTGCCTCGTGTCATCTGGGGTTTTCCGCATCTTGGGTCCTACCAACCTCCTCCTAACCTGCAACGTGACATTACTGTTTGTGATTTCATCTATTTTATTCTGTTTACTTGTCCTTTAGTTGTTTTATCTGTATTTTTATTGTGTACTGTGTTCATTCTCCTGTAAAGTGACCTTGGGTGACCTGAAAGGCCCTTTAAAATAAAATGTATTATTATTTATTGATTATTTGATTATTTTCCTCAGCTCTATCTATCCTACACCTCCCGGTCGGCCAGTGGGGGTGGGGGTGGGGGGTGTGCGTGGGGTTTGGGGGCCACAAAGAGAGGGCCACGACCGGCCCGCGGGCCGCCATTGAGTATTGCTGTATTAAATGATCAATAAGATGTGATATTCCATATAAATATGAAATATTAATCTGATTGGTCTTTGAATGTTTAATCAGAAGACTTTACTTTCTTTGACTTATTCAGGGAACACACACTTCACATTAATCCAGACAGAGTCAAGAATATAGTTTATAAGAATGATCTGTAATCTTATTTTCTAAACTAGATAAATGTGCAGGACAAAGTATGAATGAAATGATGGTTGTACTGATAACCAGTGTTGGGAAAGTTACTTTAAAAAGTAATTAGTTATAGTTACTAATTACTTTGTCAAAAAGTAACTCAGTTACTTACAGAGTTATGAGATTGTAAAAGTAACTAATTACCAAGAAAAAGAACTACTTAATTACTTTTTTCATTAAAGAATGCAAGAAAAATGGGTTCCCCTTTTAATTGAACTTACTTAATTTACTATAAATTACTACAATAGTGAAATATTAATGACTAATGACTGGAGCATAATAAAATGTATGTCCAAATGGTTTTTATAAACCTGAATAATTTAAATAACAAGAGGAACTACTAACAGGAACATTACACTAATCTAGACTATTAAAAGGTCACTGTGTGATATTTAACGAGACCCCAATCAGCTAAAATTTAAAATTGCAAATAGAAACACCTATAAAGGTTCCCGAGCCTTTAAATGGTCTCTCAGTCTAGTTAAAGTACAGAATGAATGTAATTTTGCACAGTATTTTAATTTTTCCAGCTTCACATAATTGTGTGTTTTACTAGTATTTATGTTGCTGGTAATCTAGTAATGGTTAAATAAATATATAAAAATCCTTTAAAATGACACTAGAAGAGGCACAAGTCTGATGGAGGACTTACATTTACTAACTTGGGTCAGACCCAACCACAGAAGAGCTGAAGCTGGGTGGTAAACACACACAGGTAGGGCTGGGCGATCATATGATCGCACTTTGTGATCACGATCATTTTCAGTTCAATTACGGTGATCAGCTGGGAGTCTCGATCAGAAATAACAGATGTTTGCAGCCTCAGTAGGGGGCGATAACCCTCCATGCGCGTTGGTTGCCCACCGCCATTTAACAAAAAGAAGAAGCATTTGCAATTACACTTTTCCTGCTCCGCTACTTCGGTGAAGAGGTTTAATAAGCAGAATGGCCAAACGTGGAGCTGAAGACATCGAAGTAGATCCCAGTCATGACTCGGAGTTGTCTTCTGGAGATGAAGACATTGTTCAGAAGAAAAGTTACTCAACGTCAGTTGTGTGGCGGTGGTTCGGGTATCTCAAAAGTGACGTTGAGCAAATCAAGCCGACATGCAAGGTATGTCGGCGAATGGTGCCTTCAAAAACTGGCAACACTACAAATCTATTTAATCATCTAAAGAAATACCACCCAAGTGATTATACAGAGAGCGTGAAAATGCGAGCAGAGTCCGGACAACTTGTTACACTGGCGGTGCAGCTGCACAACCAAAACAGCAATCGATCATCTCGTCATTTTCAGCTGTTGCACCGTACGAGCAGAACTCAAAGAGAAGCAAAACCATCATAAAAGCTATAACTTTTTGTATAGCAAAAGACATGATGCCTCTGAACACAGTAGAGAAGTGGCTGCCGTAACTTTAACGTTGCATATATCAACTAAGTCATGCCATTGTTGACATTTTAATGTTCCAACAACTTTGTATTTCTTCCGCCATTCATCCATAAATTTTAAACTATCTGGGTGTTTACGGGACATAAATTCCATCTCTCCCTCCAGCTTGTCTTTAGAAGCGGTATTCCCCATTCTATCTAAGTCGCACTGGTTTAGTGAAACAGGCTGGGAGCACGCCAAGGAGTTCCAGGGGTGGACATTAACTTCAAAACCAACCGGCCAGCCGGGCCGGTAACTCCGAATATTTACCGGCCCCGCCAAGAATCTACCGGTCAGCTGCCAAAACGAGTCAAAATAACAACTGAACCGTTTTAAATGTAATAAACCTTTATTTTGTACACATCCACAAACATAATAACGTATTCAAGTTTGAATTTGTTTGTTCCGTCAACAAAACTCGATTTTGTCGTCGCATACTTACGGCATACAACGCAGTACATCACCAACTCCGCTTTGCTGTATTCGAGCCATTGACCGTGTTCGAGATGAGCCAGTTCTGCGCAGATTAGACCACCAGTGATTGGCGAGCAGTGCATGCCGGTTAGATTTGTGTCCGAATTGACGCCGACTTGCTCTGACGTCATGCATACGTAGGCAACGATAACCTCGTGAGATCAAGGCGGCCGCAGATTTTGGAGCAAGGCGCTGCAGTTGCTCTCCACCGGCTGAAAAACCTAGAGGATGATGGGAAACGCCTGGCTCTCACCTGATCTAAGATCTGATTGGTTCATATTTTGATCCAAACATCCGGTGGTAGAACATGAAATGTTAGTTGTTCACATGTATTCTGTAAATCACGTTATGTTGATGATGACAACTATATAGGCCATAAAGAGAAATGTGTTTTGTTTTCTTTTGTCACGTTTCCTATGAGCACACTGAAACTACAGCTGATAACCTTTACTTATTATTACAGCCATGTCTCCATATACAATATATGATATCCACAAGCACGTGAGGATGTGTTTCAGCTGCTAACAGGCACCAGAATTAAAATTGAAAATTGAACAAGTGTGAATGCTAACGCGATATCTTCAGCCATTGTCACCCCCGAGCTACACATACAGGGAAATCCACGAGATTCAACTGGCAGAAACAACTGGTTCACACCATAGGCTCTCACTCACTCACTCACTCACTCACTCACTCACTCACTCACTCACTCACTCACTCACTCACTCACTAACTCACTCACTCACTCACTCACACACACACACACACACACACACACACACACACACACACCAGTGTTGCCAGATGTACGATAATTATCGTATTTGTACCATAATTTTGGGCTCAGTACGATGTACGATCAATAGTTTCAAAAATCCTCAAATGTACGATAATTTCACATTGCATCTAGTAACACAGTTTTTTGCTGTGGCTTTCCCAAGTCCATTACATAATTTTAAACTGTTTTGAAGTCAGATTTCACCTCAGTGCTTACAGGTTTATGCTATTGTGTAGTGATGGGAATTCCGGCTCTTTTTAGAGAGCCGGTTCTTTTGGCTC